TCGGGCCCTCCCCAGTCTTACTAGGGCGGGGTGTGGGGCGTTCTCATGGTTGTTGTTGGAAAACATTTTACATGTTTGCTTGCTGTGGTTTAGTGAGGTTGAAATCCAACCACTTAACGTCAACCAAGTTCTGACGCCCGGGGATGGAAGCCTCGAAGCGAAGGTCCCAACGTCACGGTGGCGGAGGGGGACGTCACGGATGCGGCATCCCTGGTACGCACCGGGAAGGGCGCAGGGTGGGTCGGGGGTTGGGGAAGAGCTGACCGCTCTTTGCCCTTTTTTGGGTTTTCCTCTACAAACCCTTACAAGCAGAACGTGGTCACTGGTGCGGTCTGAGTCTGGGTGAGGACAGCCATGTGTTTCCCCAAACATGGGGGCCCAGCTGCAGAAGGCGCCGTTCCGGACGACAGATCCACCCGTTCTACTTTGAGTCCGTTTCAAAGCCTCAAAAGGTGGGGGGGGGAGAGCTTATCCAGATCTAGCAAGGGAAACGGCCGTTTGATCCAAATGGAGCGCTTTTGGTCAGTTCAACGCTTTTTGGGATCTTGAAAAGAGCCCACCCAATGAATGGTCGTAGGTGTTGAGCTCAGACCGCAGCATTTGAGCTCTGGGGCGGGCCGAACCGAACCCCGAGCTGCCTCGATTTTTTTCGCGGGTTCCGTCGTTCAACCTCCCGGGTCGGATCTGTTTCACGATTTTTCCGGGGGAAGCGATCTCAACATCGCAGATAAAGCAGACATCTCCATCGGGCACGGATCTCCGGAGTCCAGTGGTCTCGTCTTTCCGGCGCGGAACGTCAGCGGAGGCGCTAGTTCTTCGCCATGGGCTCCAGCCATAGCTCCAGCTCTGGCCGGGCCTCCCGCGACGCAGGCGCCGGAGCCGCCGGAGGCGCGGCAGTTCCCCGGAGCTCTGCGGGGAGCGGCGGGACCGCGGGGAACGAGGCGAATGGGACGCCGGAGGCCAAGGCCTCCCTGTCGCTGCCTATCCAGAACCGGAGGGTTTTGGCCCAGGCGCGGGGAGAGGAAATTTTTTCCCCCTCCCCCCCCCCCACCCCCACCCGACACAGAGAGGCCCGAATTATTGTGGCTTTTGTAGGAGGTTGTAACCATGGTGACGCAACAACTGGGGCAACGCATGCGTTTCGTGTGGATCCAGGATATTCACAGGTCAGGTCAACACAAATGCCAGCAAGAGAGAATGGCAGGATTCACACGTGCATCCAAACCTTTTTCTAGAGATCGCCATCCCACCCAATTCTGGTTTGGCTGGCCCTACTTGGGTGTTCAACCAAGTTTGTGGTCAGTAACCTACATTATAGCCTACTTGCCTGGCCAACTCCACTTGGACTTTTAAGTAGGTAGCAGCCTAGGTTACCCACTTCAAAAGAAACCTGCTGGACATTCCACAGAAAATCCACATGTTTGGTACTTTGTTTGGTACTTGAACATTTTTTTCTGTAGAAATTCCCGTAGCTGGTTTGTACAATACTTCCTTGGCCGGACAATCTAAGGCAGAAAATACCCTATAAGTGGTACCGTACCTCACCTCCAAAACGGGCATGTCTCTTTTTCGAGGACCCCCCACCATGGAAATTTCGGTTGTCCTTTTGGTTTCCCTTTTAGGCCACAAACAAAGGGTACACACAAACCTCCAGCGGTACCTTGCCCATTCTTTCCAGGGATCCTTCGTTCTAGAAAACCTCCGGAAACCCATGGAAAACGGCTGTTTTCTGACAAGAACGATGGTTGAAAAGAATGGGGAATCAACCCCTATAGAAAAACACGGACACACACACACACACACACAGAATGCATGCTTGAAAAAAACTTGATCAATGGCCTTGTGGGTCGCTAGACCCTGGAGGCTGCGCCTGCCCCGGCGGCGGGGCCCCCACTGCTGCCGGTGCGCCGCACGCGGGGGGTGGTGCTGGAGCCGCCGGAGGTCCACTCTGCAGTGCCCACGTGGACCCCGTCTCCCGTGCCTTGGGAAATCGGGGGGTGGGATGCCCCGCTGAGTTTTGGCTACCCAAATCTCCTAGGGGGTCTATCCACCTTGGGCTTTGATTGAACGTGCATTTGATTGATTTGAGCTTGTTTCTGACGACACCTGAAATTGTACTGGGTACTTGCGTCGACTCGTTTTTCGAAAAGTCGACTCGGAAGGCGTGCCCATACAGTTGTGCTGTTTGGAAGCATGTGTTCACGTTTGCATGTTTGGCTGGAGTGTGGGTCAACTTCTTGCTAAAATGCTGTGCCCACGCAGTGGGTCAACTTCTTGAGAACTGGGTCGACAAGTCACCCGCCTACTTGTATGACATATCCTGCTGGATTCCGAACAGGGTAGGTCTCTCCTACAGATCCAGGTTGCAGGGTTTGTTTGCGGCATATGTCTGGCGTAGGTTGGAGCACTGTGGTCAACAGTCGTGTTATACCAGTTTATGCCTTGAACTAGTTATGACCCAGCATACAACCTAACTGTTGAGTTGGCAAGAAAAGATAAGACAAGCGGTTCGTGTTCTCGCATCGTCTGGCACATGACACACCTTCAGAGTTGGCAGACACTTTACCTGGCTATTTGCCCCCCCCCCCAAACGAATTGTGTTTAAACAAGCAGACTGCGGGGCCCTTTAAGGGGAAGCCCAAAGAATCTTAGACAACTTTGGCCTGAACATGTTGAAACCAAGGGATAGTCTGCCGCCCCTTTCGCTCAATCGCTCAGTGCCCAGGTGTCTCCATCTTCTTCCAGCCCCACACGCACCCGCGCCTCACGGGTTCATTTCGCCTCGCCCGTCACCGTGGTAGCGCCTCAGCTGCAGTGAAGCTCTCGAAGGCCCTCCGCGAACCTCCTTGTTTCACGCGCGCACGCGCGTAGGCCCCTTGCAAACCTTGCCGGACATGCTCGCCTTTCGCGCGGTGGGCTTTTCTTGCTTCCCCGTTTCGGTTCCTTTAGCCTTTCAACCTACCAATTTGTCCACGAAATGTGGCTGATTTGTTGTTCCCTTCTGCCTGGTTTCAACATCCGGATGCCTGTCTCATTCCCGTTTTGGTTGATCAACTTCGATTTTTGCCAAAAGTCTTGAAATTGTGTCCGTCTTGTCATGTTTCCGCTTTTGTCAGCTTCAATAATTCTTGTGGGTTCGGTTTTCCCGCTGTTGAATGTGCTTGTCCCTTTTCTCCTTTTGCTCAACTTGTTTTCTTCTCCCTTTTCCCCCTATAGTTCTGACATGGTTGTCCTTCCTTTCTTCCCTGTTGCAAATTCCTTCGGCTAGCGGGCTCCTTATGTTCCTAATGTTGTCAGTTGTTGACTGGGTTTGTCCTGTTCCCTTTTCCAACTTGTTTTTGGATGGCATGGCGTTAGCCATTTGTCACTTTGTTGCCCTTCTCCCCCTTATCAACTTCCTTTTGTTTGGCGAGCTATGTTTCCTATTGTGCTGCTTTGTTTGTCCCTGTTCCCGAAATGGCGTGCTTAGCCTGCTTTTGCGTGCGTTTCATTGAGCGTTTTCTCCTTGTTCCCACTTTCTATCCTTTCAACTGTCCATTTGGGTGATTTCTTTGTCCCTTTCACTTTTTCGACATGATTTGTTCGTGGGTGCACCGCTGGCTTTGATTTGTTCCCCTTTCCCTTTTCTCAACATCTTATTTTGACGGCTTTTACTTCGACTATTTGCTTGATTTGTTTGTCCTTCTTCCTGCTAGTTTCTTCTTTTTCGGCAGGCTTCTTCTCTGGGCTGTCATTCACGTTGTTCCAACCGGTGGTTTGCAGAAACCCATCGGCTCGGTCGGTCGTCCTGGGCTGGTCGTCTTCTTTTTCCACTTCGATGTGTTGGTCCTTTCTGTTTGTCAACTTCCTCCATCACATAAATCATGGGGACTGGGGGGAGGGAGGGGGAGGGATCCCTTAATAAGGCCTTATTTAGGGCTTATTTAGGCTCCCTCCCCCTTCCCTCCCTCCCCCCCAGCCCCCATGAACAAAGACGGTATGAGATGAAAGGATACAACAGCAGGAGTTCTGACCCGGAACTGAGCAAAGTTCTGTTGTTTGGCAGGGTCCCTCAAGGATACATTTGGGGCAGCAACGAAATCACCTTCACCAGCTAGCTGATGCAGAGGATCCAAAGGCTTGTAAATCAGGGCAGTTTCTTTGATCGAACCTGAAGGAGTGTCAAGCCAACTAAGCAGAGGGTGCTCTTTGGCACCAAACGCCTTATCAGGTCCCGCTTGGGGGCTGGATTGCTCATTGGGTTCATTCCCTATTACTGCTGATGCCCCCGGCCACGCTTCCTGGTTTCATGAAGGTTGTAAGGCCTACAGAAACCATACCATCTTCGAACCAAAACATTAGTCGTACGGCGTCGCCGACATCACCAGGCAGCCTCTCCAGCACCAGCCAGCATCATGAGCAAACACCACAAACCAGCATACCCAGCATCAGCATCATCTTCGAACCAAAATGTTAGTGGGTTTCTCCCAACACATGAGTGGTTCCTCTACATGGTTGTTGTTGGGAAACATTTTTCACATTTTTGCTTATCGTGGTTGAGTTGTTGAAATCCAGCCACTTAGCTGCTCAACATTTTCAATTTTTGCTCCCCTTCCAACGTCAACCAAGTCTAAGGGAGGGTCCCACAGGAGATCTCCCCGCGCTCTTGGACGCGCTCCTCGCCGGCGAGCCCGGCCTCGCCGCAGAACCCCTCCCCGCGGTCACCCTCCCTGGGCTCCAGCGTCTTGACGTGGGACGTCTGTATCTAAGTAGAACAGGGTTGTGGGATCAAGGGGTTTATCCAACCACTTCTGTGATACAAGGCAATCTCCCCCTGTATCACAGAAGTGGTCATTTCCCACAGCCCTGAAGTAGAACCCGTTGATTCATAGGGTGTCCCCCGATTTAGTGGCGATTCTCACTAATTTCCTGTGGAGGGACACCCCCCCCAGAAAAAAGAGCCCCTATGTTTTCCCCGTTTTTAGTGGAGATCTATGAACCTTTGGAGGGAACACCCCCTGAAAATAGGGGATTTTAGTGGGGAGCTATTTACCTTTTGAAGAGAACCACCCCTGAAATAATGGGCTGGTTCATGGGTCGACATTGTTCCCAAACCTCCGTTACAGTCAACAAGAACGAGTGCCAATGATATTTTTTGCCCATGGACGTCCACCGAGATTTGGGGTGAACATGGGCTGGTCTTGTTTTTGGCTACCTTTTTTTTGGGTTGGTTGTGTGTTTCTGCTGCTGTATTTGAGTGTTTCATTATTTTTCGGCTAGGAGTTTTGGATCGCTTGCCGTCCCCCTTCCCCCGCATGTGTTGATTGTTTTGCTCATTCTTGGCTGGGGCTGCAAAGAGCAAAGTGTTTATTGCCTTTTTGGTTGGCTGAACGGACTTTGGTTTTGTTTCTTTCCTTTGTGGCTGCTTTGAGTTCTGCTTTTCGGGTTTCGACGGAGCGTGAGGTGAAGGGAGCTTGGGGAGCGCGTCGCCTTGCCACGCGGCGCACGTAGTCCAGGCAGTGCACTCTGTCCAGATCCACATACCCCACACGCAGGTGCGCGTGTTTGGGTAGGTGTATTTTTCTGAGGGCGCCCTTTTTTAGGCTGACAGCTCGCGTGATCCATAAGCCCCAAGGAAGCTGCCGCTGTTCGGTCACCGTCCTGGGGAAGCCAAGGGATGCGTCATGTGTCCTTAAGGGCATGAGCCAACGTTGTGGGGTTTCGCAACGCCCTTTTGGTAGTTTTACAGGGAAACCAAAACTAGGTCCCCCAGTAGGGCCCTTTGATCTTTTTTGTGGCTGGGAGGGTTCCCCTACTAAAATAGACGAAACAGAAAAAAAGGGTATCCTTATTCTAACCTCTCTACTGGAGGACCTAGAAAAGGAAGCAACCAGCTTTGGTGTTCCCCTTTAGACGCATATGGCCCGCTACCAAAGATTGGTCGCAGTCTGACCCTGAGCCTCCCAGCAGCAGACTGGGAAGGCGACCTTCCATTTCTACAACCACCGTTTCTTAAGTCACCAGTCCCAAGGTGCTTTCCAAACAAACAGGAGGAACCCAGGCAGATTTCTCCTGGCAGGTTCGCGTGCCCGTGACCTCTCACGTGCCCGTGGCGCATGTGGCGCATGTGGCGCCTGTGGCGCCTGTGGCGCATGTGGCGCCTATGGCGCCTATGCCAGCGCCGGTGCCTGTGCCAGTGGCTCCCCATGTACATATGAATCAGCATGGGCCGCAGATGGCGCACATCCCAGCACTGCCGGTATGGAGGACGAATGGCGCCTGAGGTTTCGTTTCACCATCGGTTCACCCGAAGTGGCGTACTTGTGGTCTCACAACTTCCATTCGCAAAAGAGACGTGCCTGTCTTGAAAAGAAACACAATGCAAGCATACAATTCCCTTGTCGTTGTGTGTGCTTTTCATGAGGTACCCATTTTAGTGGCACCTTTCGGCCAATGGAAGAAGAATCTTCTGCTTGGCCCCTGAGGGGCTGAGAGCATTCCTGGCTTGCGCAGTTTCCGGATCCAACCCGAAACTGCGGGGAAGCCCGAACCCCGAAGGCCCCAAGGTTGCAGGTCTCGAGCTGTTCCCACCCCAATGCCTGGCAGTGCAACTAGGTCCCCCAGCTAGGTGCCCTTTCTCACCCCTTTTTTGGTTGGGAGGGTTTTGCGACTAAAACAGACCCTCGAAAAAAAGTTGGTACCCTTATTCTGAGCTCTCTGGAGGACCTAGGCAAGGACTGGTAAGGCAAATCCTAGATGGGACCCTCGTCGAGAAGCGCGAGGGCTGCGACCCGAAAAAAAATGCGCGCTCCCGGCCGGCGATGCTGGAAAGTGCTCCAGGCGAACGCCGATTGGGGGATCAATCTAGGGGTCGATTCCTTTTCCATGCTTTCCAACCATCGCTCTTCTCAAAACCCAGATCAAAACCCAGCTGTTTCCCCTGGGTTTTTTGAGGTTTTCCTGAAAAGAAGGAGTCATTTAAGGATTTCTGTCCACCAAGCAGTCGGGAGGTCTGGGTTTGTTGGCCTCCAAATCAGGACCTGGGGTTGAACACGGGTCCTTGTTTTCACAGAAACAAAAAACATCCTTTTTGCTTCTGGGAACCACAGCTGTGTGCTTGACTGGGCAACCCCTTTCATGAATGCTTGGGGAGCGTTAATCAGGGGTCAACTTTGCACGTCACATAGTCCAACTTGGAGCCCCATGCCGAACCTCCGGAAGTGAAGCTCTGCGGTTTTTTGGTTGTTGCTCCACCGACCATGGGAACACGGCTGGGTTTGAATATATTTTCGAAGGGGTGGGGGTTGAAGCACTCTGCGTGCCAGGACCAGCTTTTGGCGTCCCTGCAGAAGAAGCCTGAGGGCGCGGTGTGCTGTTTGGCAAGCCGCTCTGGTGGGCGCCAGGATGAAGATGGGCGGTGGTTTTGCCGACTTCGGCTTTGTCTGTCTCTCGGTGTGTGTGTGTGTGTGTGTGTGTTGTGTGTGTGTGTGACGTTCAATTCGCTTGTTTGATAGGCAATGGGTAACGGGTACATTTCAAGGGCGCTTCTTCGAGCACGTGGCTGAGCCTGCTGTGGCATGGAAGCACGCAAACCCCATCAATGTCATGGTTCACGCTATGGTAACTCGGGCCAGTCCGCTGAGAATGGTTATGTGTGTACTTGGTGGCCCCCAGCCGTCCGGTACCTTAGCTTCTTAGCTTTTTAATGTTTAGTGGGTTTCCATTTAACCCACTAAAAGTTAAACTTTTAGCAAGGGATCTGGGGGCAGCCCAGTGTAGATGTATTGGGTTTCGGCCTTTGGGATTTTGCTTTATGAATCAATGCCAATAGCCAAGTGAGCTTCAGGAGCGCTCAAGGCGACCTGAGCCAAGTCTTAGCTCGGATCAAGTCAGCCAGTTTGGGAGTCCATGATTGCTCTCTTGACCAGTTATTCAAATCGGCAAAATGAAACCACTAGGAGGCCGCAGGTTTTCGTGCAGGAGTTCCATTTTTGTGACCCACTGCCACTTGTTTGAAGACGCGGTGTATCGGGCAACATTATGAAAACTCCCCTGCTCGAACAGTCAACAGGCGCTGCCTGGAGGTCAATCCACTTAGGCAGGTCATAACCATGGTGATGAGTGGGGCAAGCGGGGTTAGTTCCCTGAAAACCATGGGTTATGCCCTAGTTACTAGGTGGGATTTAGCATCCAAGTGGCGGTTTCAAAGACGACCCAATTTGTCCTCCTGAAAGTTGGCGCCTGCACAGATATGCCCAGCAGCAACCCCCGAAGCATTTCTGGAACCCTAGCCCAGAGTCGCTGCGAACTCTTTCAGCTGGGGTCACAACCTCATTTCGACCCCAGGTGATTTGTTCAACCCGGTGGATTAGAAAATTGTCCCAAAGACAGGGGCCCTCTTTCATGGGGGCCCCCCAAGGCACCTGGGCACCAAAGCCTGGTTTCTGAATTCCTGGCGAGGGCTCAATTGCATCCCCAAGAATGGGCTGGAGCTAGAAATCCGCTCACAGCATTCCAGTGGTATCAACGGAAGTCTCGCAGTTTTTCAGGATCTCATGTGCGGAGACTGACGACTCAGCCTCGCCCTTTACATTGTTTTTTGACCGAACATATGCAGGAATCCTCCAAGTGGTGGTTTGCATTGGTGGTTTCTAGAGGGTAAATGGGAAACCACCTTCTAACCCCCAAACCACCAAACCAAACCACCAATTAGAGTGAAGCTGAGTTCCTTTTTGGGCAACCAGGAGTCGTTGCAAAGGCGGGGTGTTCTCCGAAAAGCAAGGATCCAACGGCGGCGAAGAACGGTGGGGCTCTTTTGGTTTTCACTTGGGGCCCATGTTCTGCCCTTGTGACATCCAATGGAAACAGCCATGGAATAACTTCAGCCGGTCGGCTTTGGAGAACTGGGACCTTGATAACCAACAGCCAATGGCCCCGGAAAAATGGTCCGTGCAGCACGGTTCTTTTTTTTTGCGGGAGGGTAACCATGGTTGTCACCTGTTGAGCATCTGGGGAAACAAACAAATATCTTCAGCATGTTTAACCAGTCAGACCTATCAAGCGGGGGTGACTTTGGCAAACCAAGCCCCCCCCCCCCCCCGCCACCCCACCCCAGGCGTTCCGTGTCAGCGCCCCGTTCCGGCGCCTTCCGTTTCAGGAGTCCTTTGAGGTGGACTACCAGGCCACCGTGAACTGCGCTGAGGCGGGTTGGAACCGGTTCCCGGTTGACGGGAGGGAGGGGGGCGACCTTTCAGAGTTGGACATCTCATTGAGTGGACAGAAGTCCCCACCTGGATTGGGTCCCCAAGCGAAAAACGCATGTACCCAGAAGGTTTGAGAAAGAGCCGATTCAGCCCTCTAAAGGGGAAGAGGCGTAGTTGGGCCGCTGTTCCTGGTGTCGACCCCTCAAGAGGCCGTGTGCGGTCTGATCTTTTCTGTGGTTGGGAAGGGGTGTGGGGCTGGGTTTTTAGCGTTCAGGTTGCTTGACGACCCAGGCTTTACCACTCTGGTACGGGTGGGGTGGGTGGGGCTGGGGTGTTCAACTTCACATTACTTGCGCTCACTGTTAGACCGGCAGTTGAAGCGTTGGCAATTGCGATGCATACCTAGGTTCCCCAGTATTTGCCCCCCTTTTTTTGGGGGAGGATTCCCCAACTAAAATAGACTACAGAAAAAAGAAACGGTACCCTTATTCTAACCTCTCTACTGGAGGACCTAGATACACGGCTGGCTTCCCGGGACCTTCGGCTTGTGCTCAAAACGAGCGTGTGAGCTCAGCCTGTCAAGGGCCAAGCTTTCCCGGCGATTGCGGCAGCTTTCTTCCCACTGGCTTTCGGCCGCCCGGCACGAAGACCGCTACGTCCACAGGGCTCCTCAAAAGATGTCCATTTTGCCACCATTTGAAACATGTTGCTCTTTCAACATCAAAATACGGGGAAACCACCATTGACAAGTTGCAATCTCCAGGTGTTTTTCATGCATCCGGATCTTTGGAGTCCAGAGACCGGGGAACAGCTCCCAAGGCCCAATTCCCGTCGAAAGCTTGCCAAAGGGCAATGCAAGGATGCCCCCGACCAGCGCTGCAGATTGGAAGAGTTGCGGGTGCAAAGGGTCCCCAACTTTTTTGCATGTCTGTGACTAGACATCGCGAAATGTTTCCTGCAGGCGAAATGCTGATCTTCCCCAAGACACTGCGAACCTTTTGCGCAATTTTTTGAATCTGTAATTGCGGCCGTGCTGCCATGATGCCGAAACCTAGTTTTCGTTGGAGTTTCCACTTGAACCATTCACTGTCAATCGCGCGGCCCCTTTAGCAAGTCGCTAGCCTGTTCTTGGCATGTTGTTTGAAGTGTTTTCCTTGTCAGAGGCTGCAAAGAACGGAGTGTTTTGCCAACATTCCCTGAACAGGCAACACATGTAAAAGGGTTGGCCCCGGTCCGGGGTTTGGCTTTGGCACTTTGCAAGTTGGTTTCGCATTAAGAACGGGGGACGGAACATGGGCGAACTCTCATGTTGAGACAACGGCAACCTGTGGGCTCGTCTTGGGGCAATGTTCAGGGATCGGAGGCTCCAAGTTGTGCGACACCCTGCCTCCAGACATTTGGAACATGTGGCTCGTCATCACCAAGTAATTGGAGCATCCAGGTAGTAATAATCCCCTGCTCTCCCATTTAAGAGAGGGATGCGTCCCTCTCTCGGGGGCGTCGTCTTGCCCCAGCCATGTCTTCACGTCAGGCAGGCGTCTTGCCCCGCAGAAGCCGCGAGAAAGCTTTCGACCTCGGGAGGATCGCGTAGGCATACCGTAGGCATACATAGGACATTCCAAGAAGATCGGTTCGCGGCAGGTTCGCGTAGGCCGGTTGTGCCACATACTTTCTCATTTTGGCTTGCGAGAATGTGCACGTAGGCGCTCTCCGAGGCGCAGTTTGACGAAGTAGGCCGCACAGGCACCCTTCCACATGTTTGCACACGCGTAGGCATGCTTTTTCATCGTATGTTCAAGACGCTCTCCTCCCCAAAAAAGAGGCTTAACAAGGAAGGGCCGTGCATTTCTGTCTGAATAGGCGAGACCTGCCAAAATGGGTGTCCCTCGGTTTCCTTTTGAAATTACTCGACACAGAGTACCTTGATGCATCTGAGCATGGTAGATTTTGAGCCATGTCAATCTGCGGGGGGGGAACTGCGGGCACCCTGAAGGTACCTGAAAGCACCCTAAATGCAGGTATACCAAAAACCAATGGTAGGGAATAACAAGCAAACGAACCAACCAGCCAGCCAGCCAGCCAGCCAGCCAGCCACCCACCCACCCACCCACTCACCCACCCACCCACCCACCCACCCACCCACCCACCCAACCAACCAACCAACCAACCAACCAACACAGACACGCAGACATGTATCCGCCGCCAGGCCGCGCGGAAGGCGAAGCTGCAGCATTTCGTGATGCTCTCGGCAGTCTGCACGGGGGCCCGGCCCAATGCCAGCGCCGCCAGCTGTGTGCTAGTTTTGGGTTGAAAGGAAACCATTCTGCATAAGTTATGGCGAGCTCATCGGTCCGGACGTACAACGAGCTCACCATGCTTAAGATCCTCTACTTGGGGATCCCTGAGCTCACCATGCTTAAGATCCTCTACTTGGGGATCCCTTGTTTCAGGTTTCGGAAATATTGTAAAAAACAATAGAACATTACGGGAAACCACAAGGGGAAACATAAAGAAGACCATAAGTGTCTTTTTCACCAACAGAGTCTGCAAGAAAATGTTTACAACGCCAGCTATAATTCCCGCCCCAACTTGATCTGCTATTTCCAGGTTCTTTGGGCCAGTCACACTTACTTGTTTTGGGTTTGTAACTTTGCCAAGCACTTTGCAGCCATGTGGCGATCGGTAGCAAGGACTACCGCGGCCATGTGACAGGCACACCCAGGAAGAGGGGAGGGACGGGACAGTTTCAGCCACAAATAGGTTCAACCATTCCCCCCTCTTGATTTGTTTTACCTCATTTTGGGTCAGAATCATTGCTTTCCAGATTTTGAATGCGACCAGGGGTAAAGACGTCTTTCTTCAGAACACATATGATATTCCAGATGAAACCCAATCTGAATGCATTACTGTTGGGCTACCCCAGACGTGGACCAAGCAAAGGCCAGCCTTTTTGAAGGGCGCCACGCTCTCGCCGAGGAATATAACTTGCGTCCGAACGGGTACGGACCCGTTCAGTCCGACAGGGTTGGCTCATTTGTTTGGCGTGATCTCCAGCAGCTGTTGCCGGAAGGCATCAGGTCGCCCGAACCAACGTAGGGGAGAGCGACGCCGTCCGTCTTCACGAGAGCGCTATACCGCCACTGACCTTCGACTCGGTGGTCAGTGCGGCTATGGGGCCTAGCGCGCCGGGCGGCCGGGGGGCCGCGCGTCACCAATGGGGCGGTGGTCGGTATCGACCTCGAGATGTCCGTCTCGCGCGCTGACCGGCCCACGCATATTCTGGGCGCCCACGCCAACTGCATTGGCCGCACATGGAGCTATGGGACTGCGTGATGCTCACAGTCCCCTTCAACTTTTAAAAATATGTGAATTTCCCACTGACCAGAAATCGTACGCATGTATTGTCTTTCCCACTTCCGATCTGCCGGCGGAGGCAATTATAAAAAGCTACACTTGGGTGAAAGTAGGGGAAATCTTCACATTTTGGATTAGTCCCCTTACTTCCCCACAAAAAGGTTTTGTGTCATACTGTCACCCAGGTGTACCTTTTTAGGGGAAATGCAGGATAATTCCGACAAATACCCCTTCGAGCTTACTTTTTTCCGAGCTTACCTTCAAGCCTCAAATCAGGGTGGTTTCCGCCCTCAAATCGCCTCCCAAAAATCGAGCCCTCGAGGCGTGCAGCGTCCGTTGCTGGCCTTTCAAGAGGCGAAGCTGAAAGCGGAGGCGCCGATTTCGCGGAGGTCACAAGTCGTCGGAGTGGCTCCTTTGGACGCCCCAGTGGCCCCTTTTGGGTTTTCCCCAAATGGGGTCGCCGGTGTTGGGCTTTCTTGGTGTGTGCTGTTTTGGTTTTTCCTTTTCCTCCGGCGGTTTCCCGTGGGCTGTCGCTCGACAGCATTTTTGAAGGCTTCCCTTTGAACCCCATGGGACATATGCAGGGGGCTTCGGTTCAGGAGGTTGATCGGCCGCTTTCCATAGGTTGCTGAGTGGGAAAAACGATCCCACGGGGAAGTTATACTTGGAGTTGTCGGGCAACCGTTGTTTTGGGCTCGCCTCGAAGGGTTAGTGTTAGTGTTAGTGTTAGTGCTAGTGCTAGTGCTAGGGCTAGCGCTAGCGTTAGTGTTAGTGTTAGTGTTGGTGTTGGTGTTTGTTCCATAGCCCACACTGACTGCACATCAAAAAACACCCAACTCTTTTGATGAGGTCTGGTCACACCCTAACCAAAAATCAAAGGTGGGAAAGCCATCCCAGCAACTGCATCACATGTGGGTCTCGAACACGGGGAGCTGAGGCCAAAAAGGACCAACACACCTTGGATTCAGACAACCTTGAGGGCAATTCTTAGAGCTCTTATGGTTCAAGAACGACATCAATCCTGGCTTCGTTTGCCAGATGGTCGTGGTTTTGCCCTTGTTGCAGTGGTGTCCTGCGGATTGAGATAAGGGATCCACCCATGCTGAACCCCGGTCAGGGATAGTGAATCCTGTTTTTTCACCAGAAGGATTCTTAAGGGACCAATAGCAACGGCCAGAGCTGGCTAATCAGGGAAGTTTCTCAAAAATGGTTGATGGGGGTAAAGCCCATGCCAGACACGACCACCACCAATTGCAATCTTTGACCCTGGCACACATGTGCCACGTCCAGGAGGAGCTCTGCGTTGAGGGGGATATGGCCTACTCCGTAGCTCGGAGCCTCAGAAGGACTAAATTACACATTCTTCTCCCATGACCACGAGGTACATTTGGTGCGATAGTACTGCACAAACCCAATCTCATGTAGTCACGAAAGAAAGCTCATATTACAGGACCGAAAGAGCAAGACAAAATGTCGGGGACCCAACCCCAAAACGGAAACACCCAAGGGTTAGGGGCGTTGGGAATCTTGATTCTGTAAGACCACATCAGGAGAACCAAGGCCTTAGTGGTTGGGGGGGAGGTCTTTTGGGCTGGTAGGGTAGGGTCCCCAATACCTACCGTTTTTCCCTGCTGAAAGTGTAGGATTCCTACGAAGCCAAACTTGACCACCCAGAAAACGCAGGTGCAATGTAGAAAGTCAGAAGAAAGATAAGTGCTGAACTCTTTTTGTGTTGCCATACTTTCCTGATGCGTCTGTCCTTGTTTGGGCTTCCTGCATGCATGTTCTCTATTTAGCCAACAAGTTGTCACTTGTTGGGTCCATCATGATCCTGGTTGGATCAGTCTGGCCCAGATGAATGAAATTCCGCTGGAGTTTTAATGATGGATAGCTTCCCAACTGGTTGGTGGACACAACTCCCTCCCTAAAGGAATTCTACCAGAGGGTTCCCCCCCAAAAAAACAGCAGGGTCCTTATCCCTTTTCACACTCATTCAGTTCGAGATAATTCCCTCATTCCCTGTAAGGCAGCAAGATTGGTATCGCACGTGGAACTTAGTTAAACCTTCTTGTGTGTAATTAATTTATGGGCTTGTCTCGAACGCTTCCGCCTCTACACATGTTTTACATGCAAAAGGGTGCCAACGGGGGTTTAGGTCCGTTGTGACATCCGTTCACAGGTTTCGTCTCAAAATGGGGGACCAACAATGGCAGGTTTTTCCTTTTGGCATCATTTTCAACCCACCAACATTAGTATCCTCCCACAAGACACATCCAGATGTCGCATTCATATTGGGGATGGGGGGTCTAAACTACGGCTGCGGACTCTTTGCCTGAATCTTGACACCCCCCAGATGCGACACCTGCCTGCTAATCGATTGGAGGTGCGTCCGACAGCCTTCTTCAAGTCGCTCGTCAGTCAGGCGAGGTGAGGGACAGGGTTCAGTTTCAGTGGCGTGGGCTTCGTTCCCCTTGGTCTTTGAAACAGGACCTTTTGGTGCCCAGTCGATGTGGGTTTCCGTTTGTTTCAAGGGGAAATCTGGGCGCCCTGTTTCCCCGTGAAAAAAAGGCGGGGGGTGAGGCCTAATTAACAAACATCCATGTTCTCCTTGTTGTTTGGGTGGGGTTCCTGAGTTCAGCCAGCAAGAAATATGGCTGTGGGTCAAAGCCAATGGTACCATTTTGGGGTAGGTGCACCACCCATTTTAGAACCTGTTTTAGTGGTTGGATTGGGATGTTCACTGAGGGTACGATTTGGATTTTGACCCATGGCCATATGGGGTGCTCTGTTCCTTTGGTCATGCACACAGGGCAAGGTTCGGGGTTCTCGGTACCTCCATGGCGAGACGTCGGGTAGAAGATTGGTTGGTCCAAATAGCAATCGGAATTTGGACCCCCCAAAATGGGAATCAAATCGGTCCTTTTGCCTCAACCAAAGGCTGGCCGCACAAGACAGCGCACACCCTTTCGTTTCCTTAGGGGCCAAACTTCCAAGGGCTTCACACAGCATTTGCCCAGGGCTCCGTGTGTGACCGATGCGTGAAGTGGCTTGTGTCAAAGTGGACAAGGTTTTGTGTTTGGCCAAGCTAGTGTTTCATGTGGACCCAAAATGCGAAACATGTGATCCCTAAAGTTGTTCCGATCTCGGTTTGGAGGTCTCACACCCAAACTTGTCTCCAAGGCAACTTGGCACGACGATTGCCATGTAGCTTCCCTCCAAACATGTATGGAATCCCCAGAAATGCCGTGGCTTTCACTTGTTTTTCTCTGGAATTATATGGAGTTTGGAAGCCTCAATTTTTTTCACCCGGCTTTCTCTGGAAGTGTAAGTTGGAGCCCTCAGATTTTGGCCTCGGCTTCCACTTGGCCTCCCTGAAAAGCACCCCCCCCGCCACCCCCGCGCTTGAGCTCCCGGCTGAGGTGAAGGGCGTCAAAAGCGGCGCGCCCTTCGTCATGTTCGGGGACGGAACCGAGGCCCAAACACCTCACAGGGCCTCGTGTGTGGACTCATGTCCAGGGTCCTTGCTTCTGGAAAACAGCCAACACACCGCCCTTTCTGACTCTGAATCATTATGTTGATATCCAGTCTTGTTTCTTTTGTTATCAAGGTGAGCCAAGGGTGTTTTCCCTACCTATCACTTCGCGCCGCGGGTGACTTTGACAATGATGAAAGCATGGGACCAGAACGTATTCAACCCAAGTAAGTAGGGTATCATGCATGTAACTGGGGAACTGAGGATAGTCCTCTGACAGCCATGGTCACAAGCCACTTGCGAAGCGTGTTGAACAACGCAGCACAAATCGGGCGGTCCGTTTTACGGTTGAACCTTCAAGTAACGAATTTCAAGAGGCCATCAGATCAAGGCCCCACCCTTCAAGCTGTCCCCCATACTTTCCAGTCCGGTGGTGATACGAATTCCCCGAGTTTTGGCTTGAGGGCTAAATGATGATCAGCAAAATTGTGCTATGATCATGACTAAATGGGGTTTTGAAGTACCCCGCAACTTGTGGTTGGTTCTGCGTTTTGTCAGATAACCATGTTGGTGTCCAGCTTGGGATTCGCTTGGTTCTATTTGGAATCCTGGTCAAAAGGTTACCCACCGAAACATGCGTAAAGCTGAAGTCGACATCGACACATAGCTGAAGTCCAGTTCGTTGGACCGCTCTTGCACCAATGGAAGGCTGACCGGATCGCGCATGGAGGTTCTTGGGGTCTTTTCAAAACCCTGGTGAGTTGCAACGTGGGCATTTTTTTGTAGGACGGTACTCTTTTTGGTTGGTTTAAAGGGAAACCCCGCAAGGGGAAAGCCCACCCATTTTGGGGAGTCCCCCAATGTATGACACACCCTTTTGGCCGGATGGATTCGGATTGGCTAACCCTCCAGTTGGAGAAGCCCAGTGGGGGAAGGAGAAGCAGGCGTACTTTTGAAGACGCCTATGAGGCATAGCATGCTAGAAACTTTGTTTGGGTTTCCCTGACTTTCAGGGCGACTTGACTTTGCAATGGCGCTTGTGGCAATATGTCTCTGCCAATCTGTCAGCCATGGGGGCCCCTGGCATGTGCGTCGTATCAGACCGCCCCTGCCCAGATGTCGATCCCAGGTTTTTCTCATGCCAGGGGTACATTTGGATTAGCACCTTTGCACCCTTCCCTGCAGGTCCGGTGCAAGCCCATAAGCGAGGAGGTGGGGACATGTCGAGTCTCGATTTGGAGATATATTGGTGTGTCTGAAAACAGACCCCCCAACAAATTGTGATTTCCTGTTGGTTTCCTTTAGAACCACCCAACAAACAAAGGGTGCCTTGAAAAAATGACACGCCCAGATGACGACTTGTTTGCAAGCCGGTTCCAGCGGGCTCCTGTTTCTCCCTTGGACCCACCCCCATTAGGGTTCCCCCCCAACTGTGAGCGGTTCTTGATGTATTTGGCCTGGGACTTTTCTCAAGGCTGCTTTCGTCCTAAGATTCTAGAGTGGGCATTTGCGTGGTTGCTCTTGTTGCTGTTGCTACTTTGTGTGACTGCAACCTATTTAGCGACGACAAAAAGGGTCTGTCCCTCGATGGAAGTGGGGCATTGGGTCCATGTGATACCGGGGAACCGGGGAGGTACGCTGAGTCCATTTCCACAGAGTGGAGAAGTGGGGGCGTCTCAAAATTTACCGGCCACGGGACCTCAGGTTTTAGTCTACTTGTCAATTTACCAGGCTTCCATTTTCTGGGCCCTAATTTTTGAGCCACACCCAAATGCCCACTGCAAAGATGAAAACTTGATTTGGGTCTACTGAGTTCCATTGTGTTTCCATTTTCCCCTGGAAAGGCCAATCTCCGCAAGCAACGAGCTGCACGTTTCCGCTATTTCCAATTTGCGAGTTGGAGTAATTTTCCCAGATGGTCTTCTGAACAGAAACCAATGTCCGCAGCCGCGTTTTCTTTGATAGTTTCTCTCCCATGCAAAAGCTTTCTCGTGGCATCAGATGCTGCTAAGAAATTGCAGCTACGTTCCTTGTATTCGCGCTGTTTCTGGTGTGATTCCCCATTTGTGTTGCACTTGTTGCAGGTTTGATGAATTTATAGACACCAGGCGCTTCACTGAACTTGGCAGAGGCAGGGCGCTTGTCGGAGAATGCAACCCAATAGTTGTACAAAACAAAAGTCGCAAATTATTGCCATGGTCATTTCCTAGAGCCCTGAGAACACGATTTATTGAACACTTGACATAAGCCGAAGAACTCTAAAACCAGGCTTTAAATATGCCAGCCATGCAATGGGAACCAAACTGAAAATACAATCAAGCTAAGCCAAACAGGTTGAGAATGTGCTGTAAATGCGCTAGAAAGTATGATGGGATTGTGGAAAGTCTATGCTAAACATATGCATGTAGCTCAGGAAACATGCTAGAGATAGAATAGGAATGCACTAGACACATGCTGAAGCTTTCAGGAATATAGTAGAGATGGTAAATGTATGCACGACATATTCTGAAGCCAACTTGCGACAAAATCAGACACAGTGCGAACACAAGCAGCCCATAAAGTGGCTTATTCCCCATTGTTGAAAAGCATGTTGCACAAAATGCAGGGCTAGGACAGTGGACATTGACCTCTCCTTCTCAAATGTGTTAGTTTTGAGGTCCACTCTTCCGGGTACCCTCGCAAATGTTCGCGAGAGGAGGGGTACCTTACGTGTTTATGAACTTCCATCAGGCACAGCCTCAATGGTTGGTGCGCCATAAACACCCTCCCCCAAATGATGTTTTCAGAGGGTTTCCCGGAGGAAAACATCACACCCGGCGTTTTTCTTTTTGGAGGGTCACCTTCTGGTTTTGCTAATCTAGGTCCCCCAGCAGTGCCCTTCTCTCCCCTTTTTTGGGGGGAGGGTTCGGGAACCGAAAAAAAGATGAGAAAAAAGAAAAAAAAACGGTACCAACTTGTTCTAACCTCTCAAATCTGGAGGACCTGACAAAAAAGCCGACCTCGCCCGTAGGACTTGGCGTCCTTCATTGCGGACTGCTTCTGGGACCCGGCCGGGGCCTCGAGAAACCGAGCCGAAGCGCCGGGAGGAAGAAGAGATGGGCGCCATGCCTTTGGCTCCCACATCGAAAGAAATAAAAGCCGGAGATTTTTGCGCTAGGGGAGTGTTTTTTTTGTTTTTTTAATGGAGAAACTGTGGGTCCAGCTCTTTTTGCATGGCAAGTGTCTTCATCTTTTTGTAAAGCGAGGGTAAACTCAGCAGGACATGCATGTGGAACCGCCACAAACCGTTGGTTTCCCGTTCCGCCGTTGGGCCTCTGTTTTAGAGAGCATCTCTTTGGCTTCAGCCCCAAAACGGGTATCCCAAGAAAAGGATGCACCCACATTGAGATTTCAGATTACTTTTGAGGTTTCAGAAGGCACCGATTGCGTCAAGTCCCAACGATGTCATCTTGGGCCATAGGCTTCGCTTGAACCGATGGGCCAGAACCACCCCGCCTCAATATCGACGGCCGATCACCGAACAAGAGCGGCCGAGCAAGGTCTGTCTAGGTGTTTGTTTTGAACAGAAGCTAAGAAGGTCCATGGAAGTTGGATGTTTGCTCAGCTATGGCCAGGTATTACCATGGCTGCTGATGCCTGGGGGTGATTGCATCAGGTCAACATGAACCGTTTCGGGGTCGATGAACTCAAAATTCTCAAAATGGGGGGGAGATGCAGGTTGGTAGGATATGGTCCCAACAAATGGACGCGGCCGCGCGTTTGATTCTTTGCAGTGGGCTGCGGTTAAACCCTTAAATACTAGGTTTTGACGACTCAACTTTGCATCCGGGCTTTTTTTCCTAGCAGATCCCTTTTGCCTGCAACCTTCTCGCTACTCTGCTTGAGGATGTTCAAGCAGTTGTTGAAAAGTATGTGAGCTGCGGTCAACGATATCAGGTCCTGTAGAGGACAGCAAGAATCGGGTTCGTCCCCTGGTTTTATGCGTACTATTTACACTGAACCTTTGTGCCCGTGAATCGACACTAGACCACTGGACATGTTATGACCACACTTTACGTGAGCCACTGATAGCCCAACTATTGGTTTCAGGAGCACCTATGGTGACAATGCACATTTCCCGCGAAGCCAGACAAACACATCTTCCCCTGCCTCCCATGTCCTTTTTACCTCGATTTCCAGGATCCCAAGTCCAACTTTCGATGCCCAGCTTCCCATGCTTCGCGTGGGGCGTTAGGCCAAGAAGAACCAGATCCTGCCTATTGGCGGCCCCGGCCGGGGCCCGAGTAGCTTGGGTTGGATCCTCAAAGGATGCAATTGGGTGTACCCGTTTTGGGGTTTGTTGGGGAAGCCAAGGCAAACCACCGATTTTGAGGGGTTTCTCAAAGGAGGCAAACCAGAGGACCCAATACCATTTTGGTTCGGCTCTGAGCACCTCCCTCAAAGCCTTGCACTTTATCTGCAGCTTGCTCACAAAGACCCCATAACTTTCATGTGCTGCCGCCCTGAACAACTTCCTTCAGGTGAGATAGCAACACCTGTCAACCACTCCTCTCTAGTCTTTCACCACCTGAGTTCAGAAGTTTTCCTTCCACTGGGTCAAAACTTGAGCACTGTTCTTGCTGGAGGCAGAACTGCTCAACGTCAAGACTTTAGCCTAAACCACCTGTCAACCGGGTTCGCCAGAAATCATGAGGTGAAGCCCCAGGACCCCTGACACAAAGTCGGAACATGGGGATTTTCTGTGTACGCCTTTCTTGCTTGCCAAAGTTTGGCCATCGAGACGCTCGGACATCTCATGTGGTAATTTGGTTTACAACAAAAGCCCCATCCTGATTATTTTGGCGCCCGTTTTTTTTTTTTTTTGCAAGGCTTGGACAATGTGCGTGCCAAGCCGAGCAGCGACACACAAAACCGCTTGGCAAACGGCGTTGCGGCTCAAACTGGCGAAGGGCCGCAACGAGGAATTGACCACTGCGAAGGCGAGCCAAGCCGGAGGGGTTCGGGTTTTGTGTTTTTTTTCATCGGGGAGCCTTTGGGGACATGGTGGACATCAGTCGGAGATTGTTGTACAGAGGTACTCCCTATTAAGATTCATAGCCATATTGAGCCCTGATGAATTTTCCCCCCACCCCAAAGTTGTTCATCAGGTTGGAGCGTTTTCGGAGAAACGCATCCTGGTCTTTAGACCTCTGGAGGTCTGGATACACTTTCCGGGCTGGGCCGAGTTCAGAAGGTCTCCCAACTTCGAAAGATGTTGAGTGAGTGCTATTAGATCTTTAGACTTTCACTTTTTGCTTGAAATCAAGTGGGGTTTTCAAAACAACCCCCTCCCCCCCCCCCCCAAAAAAAAAAGAGAAAGAAAGTGGGAAACTTTTTGCAGGGGGGTCAGCAGCAACCAAATGCAGTTGTACCCTCTCCCGTTCTTTCTGAGGCTCCTTTCTTTGAGAACATTGCGAAGCACGCAACACCAGTGAGAGTGATGGGCTTCCGCAAAGAACGATGAAGAGAACGGAGCATGCATCAACTCTGGAGACGAAGCGCTTGCTATTGTTCTGCCCCCGGCTTTTTGTTTTTCTTTGTTTCTCACTCAAGTTCCTGGACTATATGCTTGGGAAGACCCAAGCAACAAAGTGTGACTTTTTGCGGTCAATCTTCTCAGGAAGTGAGCCCCTGCGGGTTGCCCAGCGCAGTTGCTGGGCCATTTGACTCCCAATCTGGTCGCAGGATCGGCCACCATGCAGAACGACGAGGGTCGTATCGCTCCTGGGCAGAGTTGTCTACGGTTCTTTGCTACATACCTCTGAATGGTGGTGATGTCAGGCGACTTTCCCCTCTGATGGGGGTGATGCGTGAATGGGAAACATACGGGAACCATGATTCAACCTCATCCCAGTTGTTCAGTTCTACCCCTAGTCACTTTTGGTGGGATCCCCACTAGTATAAAAAGGATTCCCCTTTTTATGCCAGGGTTATTGAACAATTGCCAACATGGCACCAGGCAACCAACTGATCACAAGGTGCACGCCCACCTCGGGTTTACCTTGGGCCCGTTTGGACTTTTTCCCAGGAGTTGCAATCAGTTCCCAGCCATTGCCCAAATCTCCAAATTGGGTGGTCACAGTACCCATTGCTTACTATATCAGCAAGGGTTTCCCTGACCGTGGGGTTGGCCTAGATGAGCTTTTTTAGTTGGATTTCATGAGCTTTTGAAGCCCGGAAGCGTGCCAGGTATGGTTTCGCCAACCACTCACCCCAGGGGGAGTGGGGCATGAATAAGAAACAAATACACAAATAGACAAACCATGACATGGATAAATGACTAATAGATATTATCCTGCATATACACGAATAGATAAGCACAAAACGACATAGTTGATTAATGTCAATACACTAGAACATAATATGAACTGACAACACATAATTTCATGAATAAAGCTCAACTCACTGAATAAATTGACCAAAAAAGAGCTGACTAAACCATTTTGGAAGCACACTGTACACAACTGCATGAACAAAATAATGCATGACCCATATCAATCAATGAGCAACATAATCAACCGACAGGTAATCAGACAGATACAGTTAAAGCATGGATGGGTTGGATGGATGGGATGGATGGGATGCCTGGCTGGCTGGATGGATGGCGTGGCGTGGCGTGGCGTGGCGTGGCGTGGCGCGGCGCGGCGCGGCGCGGCGCGGCGTGGCGTGGCGTGGCGTGGGGTGGGGTGGGGTGGAGTGGGGTGGGGTGGGGTGGTATGGGTTTGATGGATGGATACATAAATTAACATGGCCAACTGCTTAAACAATATGATGTAACGCCCCGGGATTTAAAGATGAATTCGGTTTGCGTTTCCGCTAGATTTCGGCTTGATGGGTACATTGGGGCACTCCTCCGAAGGAGTGTGCCAGTGTGACCTTTGCCTGACCCTTAGCAGGGTCAGAGATCTCTGTCGAGGGTCCAGCTCCTATTTCTTTTGGAGCCGGGCCCTCGAGAGAGTTCGCCTGTTGCAGGGGGAGATCCTGGACCTGAGGGATCGGGATCATTGGCTGGCAAGCCAAGGTGCCCTTGCAGCCCCTTCTGGGGTGGGAGGGGAGGGAGGTGCTCCTGTGGAGGGAGCATCTCCGGCGCGGCGGGAGCCCGTGCTCCCGGAGAGGGAGGAACGGTGGATCTGGCAGTCCCCTCATCCTCCGAGAAGAAGGAGAGTGCAGAGGCGGGTGAGAGCAAGGAGGCTGTTGAGGAGAGAGTGAAGGAGAAGAAGAAAAAGAAAAAGGAGGAGAAGAAGGAGAAGGATAGGAAGAGGAAGAGGTCTAGGTCATCGAGAAGGGGTCGTGAGGAGAGGGGAAGAGAGGAGTTTCCGTGGCATCAGACTGGAGGTTCAGTTGGTGTCAAAGAGGAGCCCCCTGAGAGTGAGGAAGAGGTTGAGCATCCAAAATGGGGTAGGCGCAGGACCCCCACCTCGCCGGTGTCATCGAGCAAAGAGGAAAGAAGCAGGAGAAAGAGGAGCGCATCGAGCGAGGCGAAGAGCAAGGAGGCCACTGAGGAGCGGACTGCAGGTGAGGTGAGAGAAGAGGAGCCTTCCGGAAGTGGAGAAAAGGAAGAGATCAGGAGAGACAACAGCAGATCCCCATTGCGGAGGCACCCAGGTGGGTACATTGAGGATTTGCTGATCCGGCCCAGGGAGGATTACAGAGGAGAGGATAGGAGAGGAAAGAACAAAGGCAGGAAGAAGAGGGAGCAGCAGCGGAGGTTCAAGGAACGCTTTGGTGGTGGTCAAGGAAAAGGAGGAGGAAAGTGCTGGGGAGGCAGAGGGTATTAATGCCTCCTGGCGGCAAAGGGAAAAGCGAAAGCCCTTGCCAGTTGCCCCCGCCAGGGTCAGAAGGAGGCCAGCGGGGCAGGAAGGAGGAGAGGATCATCCTGTGAGGAGACCATCTGGAAAGGAGGTGGCCTCAGTTGGAGAGAGGTTTGAACGAGGTGAGGTTGTGAGTGTGGTGGAGTTGCCGAGGCACGTGATCAGGCCAGGCCAGAGCCTGATTGTTGTGGAAGCTGGGAGGACTATGTGGAATAGTGGAGAGGATGGAAGAGGACGGAGCAGGGGGTCGTCGCGGAAGTCCACCTCACCGGCACGGAGAACGAGGATCTCTTGAGGTGGTCCACGGGGAACCCGGGCTGCCGGTGCAAGTTGCACCTGTGCGGAGAAGGCTGCGCGGCAGGGCTATGCGAGGACGGTTTGGTGCATGTGAAGAAGCTCAAACTTCGCCTCCCAGGAGCAGGGGAGACATGGTTGGACAACCTTGTGGGCCACGTACCGGTTCAGGTGGACGAAATGGCGGCCTTGACAGAGAGGGCCAACGAGCAGATGTGAGAAGAGAGGAAAGGACAAGAAGGTGCATGGAGAAGAAGCGGCCGAGGAGCGTGTCCAGTTCTTCAACCAGTTCATCCAGCCGGAGGAGACAGGGATGGCCTCAGATCGGGAATCGTCAGGAGAGGAGTCGACGGAGGAAGAAGACGCTGGCGTATTCGAGGAGGCTCAGAGGATAAGGAGAGTAGGAGTGAGAGGTCCTGGAGTTCTAGCAGCAGCCTCCATCACCGAGATGAAGAAGTCCTTGCTTGCGGCCTCAGGGCAGTTGTGGGGTCAGAACAGAGACCTGGCCCCTGTGGGAGTGCACTGCTTCAGGACCGTGCTTCAGCAGAAACTCCACGGCGCAATGGCCAGAGAAACTTTCACGCTGGCATATGGAGCAGACCTGCTAGCCCAAGCAAGGGTCGCAGAGGCGATCGACCTGCTGCTGCACCTGAAGTCCCTAGAGCAAGTTTCTCAGGGCATGCCGTGGCAGACTGCTCAGAAGATGGAGTTGTGCCCGCTGGAGACGGCTCAAGTCGCAACCCGAGCGGAGGCGGCGATCGCGATAAAGGAGGCTCGAGGAGATGGCTCATGGCAGCACCCTGGAAAAGGAGCTCCCGGGAGGGAGAACATGCAGAAGTGTGGATGGCGAGAGCCAGGAAAAGGACGAGACGGCAAAGGCAAGAACAAGAAAGGAAAGGAGCAGAGAAGAAGTGAGGACGTCCGTGAGTAGATATGGTCAAGAGGATTGGCCCACGAAACTCCCAGGAAAGGGAGTTGGGGGCGCCCAGGTGAGGGCATATTTTCAGAAGAAGGGAGAAGGGTAACTCCCAGTGAGGAAGATGAGGAGCAGATTCAGGGAAAAAGCAGAGGCCGCGAGATGTGTCTGGTTCCCCTTGCTCACTTTGATTTCCGCACTGAGGTTCAGGGGTATGGTGTGTAAAGCCGACACCGGGGGGTCGAACCGTTTTGGGGGTTCGCAGGGGGGTTCACTCCAAAACACCTTTTTTCGCAATTGTCAGTTTGACTCGCACCGCCTTCGAGTAAACCACTTGTTTCGGCAGCGCTTAGCGCGCCTTGGGCCAGGGCGGCTTGACCATGCCCGTTTTGGTAGCATGTGGCTAGACATTGGCTTGTTCGGCTTCGATGGTTGTGTTTTAGAAAGCCTTTTCAGCGTGCGGGCGACCTCTTTGGATTTCGGCTTTCCTTTGAGAGAGCTGAAAACATGGTTTCTTAGCGGGAGAATGGAGCTTGGGCGCATGGCCTTTTGCGTCACTGTATGTTGCGGAGGTTGTTGCTACAGCGCATTTTTTGTTCGCATATATGTTGTTTTCTGTGTCGCACTGGGTTAAGGAATGTAGCTCACCTTCGGAGAGCCTTGTTTTACGCATGGGTCAGAGAAGGCTTTGCGTTTGCATTACCGGTGATTGCAAAGACATGTTTTTTTTTTCAATGCTTGCAAGTAAAGCAGAAGTAGCCTTGCGTTTTACTGCATTTTTGGCGTCAGACCGATGTTGCTGGCTCAAGGTTTGCCTAAAAGATGTCTCCAAACCTGGGCTCCACGAGCTGATGGAATGGGCTTACGAGCCCATACCTGATGGGGGGATGGTTACTGCAAGCGATGCTTCTTCTATGGGGGGAGGTGTAACCCGCCTGTGAGAATTATTGCCTCCCAGATGCCACAACGAGGTGACCTTCCAGAACCTTTTGATGTTTGCGGGGTGGTGACCATTGGACTCTTTGATGGCATTGGTGCACTTCGAGTGGCTGCGGAGGCATCCCAGCTGCCGTTGCTGGGCACATCGCGGTCGAGAAGAACGCAGAGGCCAGACGGGTTACGGAAGCAAGGTACCCCGCCTCCCTTATGTGGGAGGGTGGCGATGGATGCTGAAGTGGTCAAGGGTTGGGCCACCCATTTTTCACAAGCGAGTTTGATCGTCATTGGAGCGGGACCCCGTGCCGAGGTGTCAGCGGGCTCAACGCAGATCGCAAAGGCGCCCTTAAAGATGAAAGATCATGCTTGTTCGCCCATGTTTCTAGGATCTTGGAACTGGCTAAACAGGCTTTTCCCTGGTGTCAAGTCCGGCTGCTCACTTCAATGGACGATACAGATCGCCTTCTTCTGTCAGCATCGGTGGATCTAGAACCAGGTCGAATTGATGCTGCAGGAGTATTGGTTGCACATCGCCCTCGCCTTTACTGGCTTGATTGGGAGGTCCCAGACATGATTGGCGTCTACAAGAAGTGTAATGAGGTTCTTGAGATCGAGCTTTCCGCCGCTTTCGAACCCAGTATTTACATTGGTCAATGAGGGAGGCAGGGAAACTTCCTACGTTTACAACTTCCCGTCCTCGCAAACTCCCTGGGCATAGGCCGGCGGGACTAAACAAATGCTCCCTTGAGGAACGTCAGAGATGGGAAAACGACTCGTACCGGTTCCCCCCGTATCAGTACCGGAACTGTTGCTAGTACCGGAACTGTTACTGTTTATTAACAAGGATGACGAAGTTCGCCTGCCGCATGTGAGGGAGCGGGAAGCTATGATGAGATTCCCAATCAACTACACGGAAAATTGCCTCCCAAAAAGTGGGCCTACTGCCGAACAGAAGAATGACACGCGGCTCACGCTTATTGGCAATTCTTGGAACGTCACGGTCGTCATGTTTCTTTTGAGCTGCTTGGGGTCAAATTTTGGGTCTGTGTCCGCAATTGACTCCTTCAGAGGCAGTGGAGGCTGCTAAGCCTGGAGCAGGGAGGAATTTTATGAACTTTTTGCAGCGACCCCCGTTGTCATTTTCCCGGAAAAGAGGGTCAGATAAGGCGTTGGCCAAGAAGTTCATGAACCATGTGAGTTTGAAGGGTGAGGATATTTTGGTTCACTCGTCCGCGGAGGAACAACTCAAGTTTCACAGGTTGCGAGCTAGCATTCCTTCGCAATGTTGGATTGGCTGACAGTAGCCGGTTGGGGTTGGAAAGGTAATCCCGAACACATCAATTGCCTGGAACTTCGGGCCATTTTAACTAGTGTCAGATGGTGGATCGAAAAACGCAAGGTGAGTAGAGCCAAGTTCATTCACTTGACTGACAGTTTAGTGTGCATGCATTCCCTTGCCAGAGGGCGTACCAGCAGTCGCAAACTTCGTAGAACATTGACCCGTATTAACTGTCTTCTTTTGGCCTCCCGTTGTTTTCCTGTGTGGGCGTATGTCCACACGTCCCAGAACCCGGCCGACCGGCCGAGTCGGCGTAGTGTCCGCAAGAAATGGGTAAAGTAAGCCCTAAATGCGTCGAAGGGAGAACCAAAGAAGACAGGGTCAGAATTCGCAAGCGACGGGGAAGTTTAAAACAGATTACAGTTCTTTCCAGCTACTCGAGTTAGGTATGACCGAGCTTTGAAAGGATTCTTTTCGTTCCTGAAGTTTAATGGTCAAGTCTTGCCCACTGAGCAGTCCTTAATACTGAGCAGTCCTTAATGGATGAACTGGTGGGTGAGTATTTGGAGCATTTGTGGGCAAATGGTGAAGGAAGAGCCCTGGGGTCCGATACACTGGCCGCTATCCAAGATGCACAACCCCAGATGCGAGGCAGGCTCCAGCAAAGCTGGAGGCTTATGAAAACTTGGGTTTCCAACGAATTACCCAATCGTGCGCCTCCACTTTCTGAAGATATTCTTCACGCGCTAGTTGGCTTAGCGCTCTTTCGAAAGGATCCGCTTTTTGCCCTTTCGCTCCTCCTGGGCTTTTATTCCATGTTGCGCACGGGAGAAATTTTGGGTGTGATGAAATCCCATGTATCTCCGGGAGCCGGGTTTACGCCGGCCGTCGTTTCGCTCGGTCTTACCAAAGCCGGCAAGAGGCAAGGTGCTGCCGAAAGTGTCACCGTGTCTGTCGCAGATGTGGTTCGTCGACTGTCACCATGGAAGGAATCCACAGTGACTCCTGTTAACTTGTGTCCCCATACATGGCGGAAAAAGTTCGCGCAGTATCTCAAGGATCTGCATTTGGACGCCTTTGAATTTCGTCCATATAGTTTGAGACGGGGCGGGGCAACTTTTTGGTTCCGTAAACATGGATCTTTGGATAAGATTCTTGTTCAAGGAAGATGGCAGGCACAGAAGACTGCCCGCATCTACCTCAATGAAGGTTTAGCCGTTCAGGCTGAAATGCAGACGCCTCGCCACCCGGATGTGGCGGTGTTCAAGGCGCAGTACTTGAAGGCAGTCAAAGCACCACTGCCGAAATTTGAGCATGCCAAGGGCAGGACTGGGGGACGTGGAAAGAAGGTCAAAAGAGAGGTCGAGGGGTAATCCGACCCTTTTTCAAAAACCGCCTGTGGGAAGACGGCGGCTTGATTTTTAAGGAGTCGAGGGGAAATTCGACTCGAAAGACTTAACCCCCTTTTAGTTTCTGGGCTTGGGCTTGCCTGGGCTTGGCCAGGAAGACCCCCGGGGTCTTGAAAACCCACTGTGGAGAGGGTTTTTGTTGTTTAACATAAGGTTCAGGTTTCAATTTTTCAGACAAATCTGGTCTTGCAGCGCGGAAAAAGGCAAGCCAGAATGAATCTTTGATGTAACGCCCCGGGATTTAAAGATGAATTCGGTTTGCGTTTCCGCTAGATGTCGGCTTGATGGCCACACCCTCCCGCCCGGTGGGAAAGAGAGGTCGAGGGGTAATCCGACCCTTTTTCAAAACATAAGGCTCAGGTTTCAATTTTTCAGACAAATCTGGTCTTGCAGCGCGGAAAAAGGCAAGCCAGAGTGAATCTTTATATACATAAATTCTGTATAATATACACCTTCATACAAACACCATATAGACACCGCGCGCCTCCCTTTTTGTCTCAGGTGCTTGTGAGGTATGGCTGAATTTTGTCGGGTGAGGTGATCACTTTGGAACATGTCCTTTCTTTGGCAAGTGACATTGTACGGCCCAGCTCCTTTTTTATGTGGGAAGTGGGGTAAGCTGGTCTTCCTCGTCCGTCTAAAACCCCCCGCTCTCATGAGAGAAAGGATTCAGCTGCCCAATGGGTGCATTCCTCTTACTCTAGGTGACAAACAGCTGAATCGTCTTTTTTTATCTTCAGCATCCTTTCATCAGGTATCGCTTGTTTTGTTGAGAACAACAAAAGTAGTGGCATCGTAATTGTATTGGAACAGGACTGTGATACAGCAACACGACTTCATACTACCAACACAATTGCACCAATGATGGCTCACTCCTGAAGATGAGGTGGTCGCTCGTCTGAGCCATTTTAGTGACTAAGCCAAACTCAGAAAGTGACGCACCCTCGTGGCCCGCAAAAAGGTTGGATTGTCCTTTAGAAAACCATCCCGACGTTCGGGCTCTCGCAAGCGCTCAGGTGGACCTGTACCTGCCGCGGAAGTGCTCCGATGCTCGGCGAGCGGCTGGTAACGGGTCGCAATGAGCACGCCCTATGACAGAAAGGTCCATGAGAAGCCCCCCCCATTTTTGTGCGTGTGGTTCCATGAGTGGTGCGTGTGGTGCATGTGTGTGGTTTCTCTGAAAAAGGCTGTTTTGGCCCAGCTTCATGGCTTCGGGTTCCCTGTGCCCCCAAATCAAAACCCAACCCTTTGCCTGAAAAGGCGACCTCCCAAAAGCACACAAACATAAACAATTTCGGGGGGAGAACACCGTGGTGTTCTGTTGCATGCATGCGCTTGTGTTTTTGTTAGTGATGGCCGGAGTCTGATCTCCAACATCCCTAAGAAATCCTGATTTGTTTTATCTTTTTTTTAATGCCCCGAAACAAAAGGCGGGTATTCGGACTGGCCACCATTTTAGCACTCCCCCTCACTTGCAACAGCGAACCGAGCACAGCTTTTCCTCTTTGAAGTCGACATGTCGTGAAAAGAACCCAAGAAACAATATTACTTTTGCTGCAAGCATGCCCCTCCCAGACCTTCAGGGGTGCACCTTGCCCATTCTTTTGAGGAGTTTTCGTATGACGGTAGAGGAGAACGCCGCAAGGCGTGCTAGAGGGAGACCAAGAGCGGATGGATCATTTTTCCTGAGTTATCCAGACCAGCCAGGGTGTTTGAGCCTCAAGGTGGGTGCCATGTTGGGGAAAACCGCCACCCCCGCCGCCCCCGCTCCAGGAACCACTGGTCAACCTGGAACCTGCCCCTCCCAAAGGCCCGGTAAGCACCCTTGGGCCAATTTCCTAGTGCAGACACCCCATCAATTGACTCGTATGTGACCACATTTCATTGTTGTTTTAAAACGGTACCCGAATGCAGCCCTTGTATTGGTTGGCATGCCCAGTCCAAGGGGAAGCCCACGGAATGTGTCATTTCAATGATAAACCCTTCATGCAACATGGAAGTGCATTCACTCACTTTCCAAAACGGAGCCTAGTCTTCCAACTAGGGTTTGCGCACCAAACCAAGCATTGGCACTTTAGGAACCGCTCGAATCTAGGAAAGCTTTAGTGACCTTACCGGGTTTTCTGAAGATTCCTCTCTTCCGGATCCCTCATTTCTTGCTGGCTCCCAGCCATCCCCTTAGCCTTTCGGCCTTTTTAGTGTTTAGTGGGGATTTCCATTGAACCCACTAAAAGTTATTCACTTTTAGCGGGGGATCTGAGGACAGCCCAGATTTTATTTGAGCATGGTGAAGTATTCCACCTTGCCCAGATTCCCTACTTGGCACCACAGGTAATCAAACTTCAGAAATATCAACGCCGGTTCCAAGTGGAGTCTCATAGTTCATTGCCACAAATGGCAATGTGCTCACTTTGACCGCTGCTTCAGATTCGTATTTGTCTTAGATTCTGCGGGTGTTCAAAGTAGTCTCTCAACAAGTAGTTGGAGTCCAAGTCTGGCCAAGAGCCAAGGAGGAAAGGAGACTTCCAGAGACATCAAGCAAGTTCATCTTGAGGAACCTGGTCTCAGGTTCAGGTTCCATTTTAGTTGGTGAGGAAATAGGTCCCTTCCCCCCCTCCCCCTCCCCCTCCCCTCCCTCCCCCCTCCCCCTCCCCCCCCGTCTCCCCCTCCCCCTCCCCTCCCCCCCGTCTCCCCCTCCCCCTCCCCCTACCCCCTACCCCTCCCCCCTCCCCTAAATCCCCCTTGACAGCTCCAACCCTTTGCCCACTTCGCAGCCGAACACTGATCGATCGCTTGAGGCCACCAACCGGCTCATCAATGCCAAGGAGCACGGCGCGGTGCAGCTGAACGTTGCCCAGGCGATGCGCAATGCGATGCGCGATGCTTCCTGCGCGCCTCGTTCCTCTACCAGGGCTCCTCAAAAGAAATTCATGTTGCAACCATTTGAAACATGTTGCTTTTTCAACACCAAAAGGGAAGCCACCATTTACAAGGCAATGTTCAGGTGTATAATGTAAGGATCCCTGTCTACTAGGTCCCCCAGCTACGTGCCCGACCTCTTACCCCTTTTTTGGTTGGGAGGGTTCAACCTACTAACTAAAACAGACAAAACAGAAAAAAGTCGGTACCAACTTATTCTAACCTCTCTACTGGAGGACCTAGTCTAGTTGTTTAAATGGCGCCATAGGTCTGCAGGTTGCGAGGGGTTTTCCGTTAAACCACCTTTTGGGGGTAATGTTGAGGATGTTACTTGAATGGAGCCAGTTAGATGTTCAACCCACAAGCGTAGCTCATCTTAGAACCGAGTCAAGCGGGGAATGACTATGACCTACCTAACCGATTCGGGGGTACAACGAGTTCGGGCCCCATGATGAAGGTTCGCTACTGCGGGGTGTGCCTTATTTGCGGTTTGTGAATTAATTATTCACCCAGAGAAGTTTCCAATTTTCTGAGCTGAACTTTGCTGCTCTGTGTATGTGTGAGTGTTTCTGGTGTTTTTGTTGTTGTCTTTGCTTGGTGTTCATGTGTTGTGTTTTTCTTGTTTGGTTCTTGTTTTCACGCGCGAAACATTGACGTAAGTGGTTTTCATAGGTTCCAGGCTGCGAATATTGTAGTCCTTTGTGTGAACAACAGCGAACCATCAAAAACACACATTTTCTTTGTAGCGAAAGTGCCCCGTAAGTGGTTTGCTGTATCAAAACCACTTTCGAAAGCTGCCTTTCATGCGTTGCTTCATGTTGTTTGTTGCTTTTGTAGTCATATTTCAGGATTTAGGGGGGGGTGCTGAACTTCGCCTTTTGGTGTTCGGTGTTTGTTGGTCGATGAGGATTGGAATCTAGGATAAGTCTGGTTGCGCCAACAAGGGACCGGATTAGTTAAGTTGGTTTCGCGTTAAATCCCTTTGAAAGGTTCCCTAATGTCAAGCAACACACTCCAACCTCGGAAGCCGCCAGAAAGCCCGTTCAAGCGATATTGTTTTTGAGGGGTTTCCAGTCAGGTTCCATGTGATTTAGCCCTCTACGACATGTGTCTTTGGGGTCCATGTGATTTAGAGTAATGCCCCCAGAGTTATTTAGCCCTCGTCTCACTTTTAGGAAGGCGAATTCCATTTCCGCTTCGCGACCCGTAGACCGACGACGAGGGCCGCTACTCTGGGGACTTCTACACCTTTGCGCTCGCAGGCCCCTGCCAAGCGCATCGAAGCGATTCGCGAAGAAACAGAAAGGGAGTTTTATGCCATGAGGAGCAAGGTCCCAGCGAAACTTTTGGGCATGCATCAAAATAGGGGCAAAATGGTGGGGTCGGCGTTCTTTTCATCCGCAGATGCCGAATGCGATCTTTGATCCAGACAGTTCTACAGGGTTATTTTTCCGGATGTCCTCGTTAGATATGGTATTAGACCTGGGAAATTCCTCTGGGTGGTCGATGGTTTTAGGTTGTTGAAAGTCTTGAAAATTGCTGAAAGTTCACATCATCATCATCATTTTGGCCCGATCCGACAATCGACTCGAGCCATTTCTCCCATGATGAAAGTCAGCAGAGGTTGGTATGTGTCAACATAGGGACCTCCCAACCCTTTGTCCAGGTTGTGCAGTTCCGAAACAAGCAGGTTGTGGATAAAAGGTCTCTTGTCCACTTCCATTGTTCAAAAGCAAAGAACTTCGGTTTACTGCTTGATGTTGATTTTGAAGTATCTTTGCCTTTCTTTTGCTTGCTCATCCGCATTAAGGAGGCTTCTGTTTCGGATTCACCTGCGCCCCAGCTTCCTGGAAACGCTGAGGCTTCATCCGCCAGCGCGGGGAGAGCGATGCGTGCCTGAACCGGCTGCTCTACGAGAAGGGCCTTCTCACCTTCTCCAAGTGATGAGGAGAGGCGAAACGGACCGCGAAAGAAGAATGAGTCGCGGGGTTGACGCAGGGTTGCTCAAGTTCCCGGGGATGAAAGGCTTTTTTAAATGCCGAAGTATGGAAACCAGCCCCCAAAGTCACACGACAGGGAATATTTTTGGGATTGTCCCCTATCGGTTTTGGGTAGTCACATTCCAATCGGCTTCTATTGTCAGTACACACATATGGACGTCTACAATGAGCCTTGGCAAGAAGGGACACCAATTGATCATGGGAAGAGGTAGGAACTCTATCGAGTCCCTTCAAATCTACTTTAGACGTAGCCTAAGGGCTGGAGTCCTTCTTTTGCTCACCTCGTATCCCCTCTTGGCAACCCCGCACCCAAGAACTAACTGGATGCCACGCCGGAGCCTTTTGAGGAGATTTCGGATCTTGATACACCAAGAGTTTCCCTTTTTGGTGCATCCCGGTGGATCCCAGCTACAGCTACTTGGATGTTCCGCCCACCCACGTGACGGCCAGAACCAACTTTAAGCAGACACAAAGAGTGGGAACCATTACAGGTTATTTGTCTAGGTCCCCCACTAGTGCCCTTTTACCCTTTCTTGGGGGAGGGTTCCCCTACTAAAATAGACTACAGAAAAAAGGGCACCCTTATTCTAACCTCTCTACTGGAGGACCTAGTTGTACGTAGTGTTCTCTCAGGTTAACCTTTGATTTTCCTGGTGTTGGCCCGCCGTGCCATGGAAGTGAACAGTCTTCTTGCTGAGAAGGAAAGGTGATGTCTTCCAAGAGGGAGCACCAAACCACGGTGGCTGTGTCCTTTCAGTGTGGTTTAAAAAGGAAAGCAACAGGAACATCCATTTTGTGGGTCCCCCCTACTTAAAGACAAATCCATGTTTGCCTGTCCCTCGGGATTGGGGATGTTCACACGCTGCAAACGGCGATCTATTTGCTGGGATCTTTTCCGACGAACTGTTCGGAGGACACGTCTATTTCTCCACAAGCCCAAGGAAAGTCAAAAGCTTTCTGAGCAGAAGCGTTTCGAATTCTATGTCGACCCATGTCATTCGGGCCGTTCCAAAGCCATGCGCTTCCCTGGAAGACCCGAGTCTCCTACCGCAAGAGTCTCCTACCAAAACTATGCCATATGCTTGGGTAGGACATGTATAGGTTTGGCTCTTTTTTGAGGGCACCCATGGTACCCATTTGGGGCTTTCAATGGAAAGCGCAAAGGACAATCATCCATTCTGGGGGTCCCCATTCAAAGACAAACCCACACATGAAAAGGAATCAGAACATCTTATTTTCCGTGTACCTTGTTTTTCTGTACTGCAAGTCCTGCGGTGTTTTCTTACCCTTGAGGAGGTTTCTTCGAAATCCACCCCATGACGCAAGGGGCGCATGTTCTTCTTTTCCCATGGCAATCCGGAGCTCTGGTTGCCACAATAGGCCCGCTTTTGCGGCAGCCCAGGTGTAGGCAAGGGTATAACCTACACTAGGGAAGTAGATGGCACGATGCCCTTTCCATCGGTATTGTTAACCCCGGATGAAGTTAAACCCCTGGTTGATTTTGATTGCGGGGTGTCCCCTTTCAGTGGGGATTCAGACCACTTTGGAGGGAATCCCCCCCTAATAATGGGACGGGTTCTACTTAGATCCTGGGTCAACATTAAGGGGATGAGGCCAGGGAGTTGTGCCATCTACCTCAACCAGTGTACCTGACGTGGGCTGAAGATCGAAGTGAGCACCGCGCGCAGGTCTCTTTACGCCCAAAATGGCTGCGGATGGCGAGGAAAACTGAGGGCTCGCGGCGCTGCGAGCAGAGCACGTCGGGTCTTGACTGCGCCGGTTTGCAAGTGACATCCAAACTCCACAAAATGGGGCTCGGAGCTACAAGATTCAATACTTGGAAAAGCCTCCGAAATGGTTAGAGGGCATAGGTCCAACCGTGTTTGTAATGGTGTCCGCCAAAGGGTCTAGCCGATGAAGGCGAATTCCCTATGTGTTGTAAAACATTGCCTACAGAACATACGCCAGCGCTGTGTGTTTTTCTCGATGTTGGACAGGGCATATCTGGCGTTTTTCCGAAGCGCAGATCTGCAGTTGGAATTTCCTTCTATCCTTGGTTGGAGGGGGGTTTCTCGTTAGTCTACCAAAACAAGATGCCCAATTTTTTCGCCGACCATTGAGGGGGCTGCGAATGTCTTGGGGGCACGGCGTTTGTTTTTTCATTGCATTGCCGGGATGACACAAATCTATCCGAGAGTGCTTCAAATGTGAAGGGCCGTATGTCCCTCAGGCCGTACCTGGGTCGCACCCCAATTTATTTGGAAACCATTCTCCCTGTTTTGGCTGCATACCAACTAATGTCGGTGCATTCTTCCGGGATGTTTTTCGCCAAAAGTGAACGTTTCCCCCCTTTTTTGACGCGGCGCCCCCTGGCGCTTGGGGACACCCACACACTTGGGGGTGAAGCGCGTCTTTCAGGTACCCATGTTCCAACAAAAAAGAAGGGCTTGATTGCTCAGAGCCATAGTGTGGATGAACAAAATCGTGCAACAGCTAAGAAACCATGGAAAGCAACTGTTTGTTGGCATTTACATGGGGAATCATCATTCCAGGGTTTCTTTGGTGGTGCAGGATTTCGTCCATCCAGAGTAAGAAGTTCCATTTGACTTCACGCTGACTTGCCTCAGCTCTGGGGATGTTTGGGACCAAAGGCCCTTGACTCAACTTGAGGGCGACCTTCTCCTTGCCGGTTTGGCTGAAACCCATGGGAGAGGCGCCCGGAAGATCTATCTTCAAGGATGACTCCTAGCTTCGTATGTTCCGTCGTGGGAAGCACCCCGCTTTTGGGCCAACAACACCCCTGTGAGTATTCGCGGACTCATGGGATTTCGGGTTCGCACAACTTCCGGCACTTCCGATGTTCAGGGCTCCAGATCTTCGAAATCGGAGACCTTTTCCTTGTTGGGTCCCTTCAATAGGCAAACGATCAAAGGAAAGCCAACCAGCACACCTTTTCGTGCTTGCAGACATGTATTTCACCTGGTAATTGGAACCCAGTTGCCGAGTCACCCAATGGTTGATTTTCATGGGAGGGTGGAACCAACGCGGTCTTCGTTTAGGTGCTGACCAAAGTTGAATCCTTTGCCTGTATGTTTGCACAAAGGGAATGAGGACGGTTTTAGGGGGTAGACTTTTTGTGGTGCGGTTGTCTGAAGCCAGTGCAGACAACGAAACATCTCCAGGCCTACTTGACTGGTCAACTCATGTCAGGTAAATAGGTTACGTCTATTGTTTTAAGCAGACAAAACCCCAGTTATGCCAGTTACAAGCATGGTTATAACCTCCTTACAAAGTCGGTTGCACATCCAAGCATAGGTAATCTGTGGTGTTTGCTTTGGCGCCTGGTTGTGGATAATTGGGGTTCGCACGTTGCACACATGGGCCAAGTGCTTTGGGTTTATCTATCTGGGTGTGGGTCAAAATTAAACCCCTAGGGGACCGCAGTTCAAATCGTCCATGTTTCCATTTACCAGGGCAAGCCATTTTGGGGTTGCCTTTTTTTGACAACCGCAGCCATATTTCCCCTTAACACATCCCCCCCACCAAAAAACACTCACCTTTTAAGGTGTCCATCTCTGGGCCGTTTTTTTCTTTCTTCCCCGAGGCCCTGCCCTGTCCTTCAAAGAGCAGGGGGAGCTGCTCTTCGGTCTGCTAAAGCCACTTGGCCACACGTGAACTTGCTTGATTGCTGTTGGGTTGGATCTTTAGACTTGAACCTTTTGGTTGAAATGAAGTTGGGTTTTCCACGAAACCCCCAAAAAGTTATTCACTTTTTGCAGGGCGGTCAACAGCAGCCAAGCTTGGGTCAAGGAGATGGCGCAGTCTCTTTCAAAAAATTGGGCAGGTAGAGGGGATGACTTAATCCAAATGGGAGAATTGTGTCACCCAACTGTAAATCTGGCACAAAAATGGGGGAAGGGGTGGGGGTTGAACTTTGTTGGTTGCCAGCTGAACATTTTTTGTTGAGAGTAGTGGAAGCCATCTTAGACTCATCTTAGACCTATTGGCAGTTCTTGTTTCCCTTGGTTCCAACTAGATCTGGCTTGAAAGGCCTAAGGAGGTCCGTGAAGGTCCTGGGTAAGAGAAGGAGGGCGTGTTATTCAGCAACCAAGTGTCTATATATTCCCCCCTTGGGTGATTTAAACATCACCTTCGGGGAGGTTGTGCAAGACGTTTCCTCTCGGTGCTGTTTAAAGAGGACATATAAAGAGAGTACCCCTCTTCCCAACTCATGCTAGGAATTTTCGGGTGGCCGATTATCAATTCTTGTCGTCCTCCTGGCTGGGTCGTGAAGCAATTCGTCATGGGGATGGGAATCCCGCGAAAGTATCAGGGACCTTAGGATGAAACTAGACCATGGTGACCACGGTGAACACATTGAGCGGGGGCAAACACATGCAAGTTGACTCTTGTTGAATATTTGCTGACTCCTGCCCCTGCTATTTAAAGGCCGGTTTTTTGTCTGTTGCGACCGACTTTTCGGATGTAGACCTTTTGGAAGATAGAGATTTCCCAACTAGCGAGCAACGAGGGCAGACCTCCCACACGAGGTTTGGTCATTGTTTCCAGTAGTCTGTCCATGTGGGCGGTACATGGGGACGCACTAAGTTTCCCCACCTGACGGTTGGGGAGGACGCCCAAAAAGGAATCAGCGCAGGTTTTCGTTTGGCAATCCGGTGTGGGTTACTCGGTTTTGACATTCCCCGCTTGGGGATCAGGCAGGTCCCCACGATCTCGTTTCTGTTAAGGTCCTCTCAGGTACCAGTCATGACTCTGGATGAATCAACAACACAGAGGGGCATTTTCCTGCCCCGCAAGGTGGAGGTGTTCCTCGAAAGCTCACATGAGGTATAAAACAACCCGTTGATTTACAATTAGTATTCGGAGGTCCCTTGAAGTCCCTTGTGTCCGAAACTGCCACATCTCACTGCAAAACAATGAGGAGTTAAACATAAACGATAACGATCCTGGGAAGCGGCCTTGTCAGCTTGGACATGCACAGCTTGGGTAGCAAACAGGCCAGACTTGGTAGCTGAACAAATAAGAGATAACAACACCACAGCATAAACGATGGCATTTTGCACATAACTTGCCTTTTGCGGCCAAAGTGCACTTCTCATACCACCCTTGCACTGAAAAGTTGGAGATGGAGCTGTCAATGTCAAAGTGTACTTCGTGGACTACACTTGTACTAAGAGGTCGCGATTTCGAGGTCGAGCATACAGAAAGCACAAAACCCTGCAAAACGGTAAGGAGCTACAAAGCGATACCCCCCAAACGTAGCTCTCGAAAAAGCGATTCGCTCAGGATGTGAGAAAGTGCGACACACCCAAGGGGTTGACTCTCCAAGCGACACAGCCCAGGCAAGAGCCGAATTTCATTATGGTGCCCTACGGCGTCTTCGACTTTGTGCAGGGCGTCGGGCGCCTCAGGGTTCATGTCCAAGGCGCTGCGGTGGATGTTCATGTCAGGTAAGTTGGCATGTCTGGAGTACTTGGCTATAGCTGGGGTTTATATGTTGGGGTACAACTGGTAGAACTCGAACTAACTGGGGCTTTGACTGGGGGTACTGGCTAAATTGCGGTAAACTACGGTTTGCTTGTTCCCTCACTTGCTCTATTCAGGGCATCCACCGTACCCGTTGCAAACCTGTGGCTCGGAATTCGCGAAGGAGTTCACATTAGGGCCGCAAAACCAGATTCTTGCCAGGTCAATTTTTAGGGGGTCCGTTCCTCAAAGGAGAATCCACGGAAAACATCGGGCAAGATGAGGGTCCTTTTGTTAACCTGCTGTGTAATCGACGGGTTCGACCGCTATCACACACACACAATGTGTAGCATATTGGATCACGTGGGTCACCCCAATGAAGGTTGGACAGTGGCCATTGGCCATGGCTAATTTGGGAGGGACACGGGGGCTCTCTGAGTTCCGGCAAACTCCAGGGTGACTTAGCAGGCCGTGACCCTACCCTTCCAATCATGGAGGTGGACAAAAAATAATGTGGAAGACGACTATCAAGGCCACTTGCCCACTTCAATGATTGTTGGAAAGAGGAAGAGCTTCATGTAGGCCTCAATCTCAGGGCAAAGCTGAAGTGGAACCTTAGAACAGTGCTCAAATGCCCTGCACCGAATCGAGTGTTGGGATTGCCAAGATTTCGCAGAGGCAAACCGAAATGGCTGTCATTTTTTACTGAGACCCTCAAAAGTTGGCGGACAGAAATCCCCAAACGATGTGGTTTCCATTACAGTACTCTTCATGCGGGAAGAAATCGGTTCCATATTCCCCTCCAGGATGTTCCCAAGCGAAGCTTCGCAGAATGGGTTTATCTGCTAGGTTGACCCCCCCAAGACTGGGTGGGTGAGTTTCCTTTTGGTTCCCCTAACCACCCACAGAACTACTTGACCAAGAGTCCAAAAGGAAAGGACCAAGAGGACCCCTTTTGGGGCTTTTGGTTCCCCTGACCAACCTTGTAAAGGGGTCCCCCCCCTTTTGCCCCCCTCCCTTTTCCCCCCCCTTTGCCCCCCCCTTTCCCCCCTCCCTCCCCCCCCCCCCCCCTGTCCCCACCCACCTCCCCCCACTCCTCCCCCCACTCCTCCCCCCACTCCTCCCCCCACTCCTCCCCCCACTCCCCCCCCCACTCCCTCCCCTCCCCTCACCCCACCTATCCCCCCCCCGCCTTGACGCGGTGCCAAAAAGCCGCGACCCTTTTTCGGCGCTCGGCGAGATCCTGGACTTTGTGGCGGGCATCTTCCCCCAGCAGCCGAGGTCCCAGCCGGTTTCAGCGGAGAGGCGGCATCCAAATTTGCCCGAGCCAAAAAGGAGCTGGACACGAGCCAAGAAAGCAGCTACCAGGACGGGGCGGTTCTGAAATAATAGTTTTGTTGCATCCTCTGCAAGGTTTGTTGGTGAAGAGCGTTGTCCAGCTGGAAGGACCATTGTTTAAGGTGGTGTAGGAGGAACTCCCGCCAACATGGAAGTGCAGAGACTCCCTACGCCCACAAGTAGTCGTCCCTTCGGGGTCTGAAACTTCCCCAGAGCCGAGCCGAATGGGATGGGATGGTTCAGAACGATGGTGGAAATGAAGGGACAAGGGATCAACGGTCAAAATACCCTATTGTTGGGACATGCCACACAGTGCGTTCAGTCTTCAGTGCAAGAAAGAGGAACTGCTCAAGAAGATGTGCATAGCTATATTATATATATAATATATGTATATATATATATACATATACATATTATATATATATATGGTATCCCGACCCCCCAGGGACCTACCTTTTTCATGAGTTCACTGGTATTTGCAGTGTTTTCTACCTTTTTGTTGGCTTTGGGGAGGGCAATGAAAAAGAAGCATTTCCAATCACGTTCTGGAAGCTTCAGGATTGATTTCAACCGATTTAAACCGATTTAATTTAAGTCGGGCATGGATTCAAGATTCAAGAATCCAGGCCAAACTTGCCCAGGCAATCTTGAATCCAGGCCTCGGTTTAGCCGATTTAAGCTGATTTAACTTAAATCGGGCATGGATTCAAGATTCAAGATTCAAGACTCCCTGCAAAAGCTTGGCCTGGATTCTTGAATCTTGAATTTTGAATCCATGCCCGATTTAAGTTAAATCGGCTTAAATTGGTTTAAATCGAGGCCGGCCTGGATTCTTGAATCTTGAATCTTGAATCCATGCCCGATTTAAACCTAAATCTGTTTACTTCGGTTTAAATCGAGACCCAAAATTCAACATTGCACTTTGCACGGCTGTACTTTGGCACAGTGTTGCACAAGCATCCAAGTCCTGGTTGTTCACTCAATCTGTTTCAATCTAGGCCGTCATTCAAGATTGTAGCTCAAAGTTTTCTAGGGAATTTTGAACCCAGGCTCAACTGAAATTTCAGTGGGTTTCAATGGGTTTCACTCGGACCTGGACTCGCGTTGGCAAAGAAGACTTGTCTAATATTGATTATTGAATGTTGAATACAGGCGTGGGTTCTTTCCTTATCAAATCCTGTTAAAGCTCTAATTGAATTGCAAGTATGTATTGGGAAGCACAACACTGTGTTTTACGGTGTTTTCTGACCATGGTAGTGTTAGGACTAGTGAAAGACACAAGTTTGGGACCTTTGGATTCTTTCCTTATGAATTGCACTTAGTATGTTTTATCAAGTTCGACCTTATTTCTGATTCAATGGAGCTTAAGAAGGACATACTCCAGCCAAAATTTTGATTTAGAACCGAACTTAAATATTGATTGTTCTATGTCAAATTAAATGGTACAAGCGATTTCCTGTCCAATAGAACATTGTACTTGAAATTCAATCACTTTCAGAACTAGAGTTAGATGCCTAGTCCTAGTCTGGTCCTAGTCCTAGTTGGGAGATGCTGGGTTCTAGGCCTAGTATGGTCCTAGCTACTGAAATAAATAGAACGTATAAAGGATATTACAAAGGAAGTTCCTTATGAATTGTAGTTAATATATTAATCAAGCTCTATGCAACAGCTAGCTGAACAGTATAATTTTTCATCAGGATAGTATCCAATCATAATTTACATGTTAAGTTGGAATCCACAATATTGATTATTCTGTTTCAAACCAAACATTAAACAGGACTTTCTTTCCACCAGAATGTAGCACTTGACATCCAAATACTATAAGAAGTAGAATTAAATGGTCTAGTCCTAGCTTGGTCCTAGATGAGAGATCCTTGGTTCTAGTGTTAGGTTGCTCCCTAGTTTACTGAAAAAAAACATAGAAAGTATACAGGACATCACAGAGGAAGTTCTGGGTCGTCTAGTCCTAGTTTGGTCCTAGTCACAGTTGAGAGATCCTGGGTTCTAGTCTCATTTGGTCCTGGTCCTAGTTGAGAGATCGTTCCTCCCAGTCCTAGATGGGCAAATCATGCACTGGAGAGGCAACCAAAAGGTAGGTCCCTGGGGGGGGGGTAGCCTATATATATATATGTGTGTGCGTGTGTATATATATATATATATATATATATTATACATACATATTATATGTACCGTCTTACAAGCAGGAACCCCTCCAAGTGGTTGGCGTTCTTTTCGGTCTCCCTTTATCCATCCTACAGGAGGGCTTGCCATTTTAACACACTGCCATTCCATATATCAAGACGGACACATGCGTGACATGTATATATGTAATCAACATGACACGTGTATTTATACATATGTATATATATATATACATATTTGTATATATATATATATACATATATATGTATATATACACATACATACACACATACATATATATATAGACAATATACACATATTTGTACATATATATATATACTGTACATACATTTAAATCCTACATTTAAATCCTATGCTTGAGCCACCAAAGAAAGCCAGCCCGGATCGAGGTCAGACTTGGCGGAGTACGGCCGCATCGGCCGGTACTACGCAGAGCAGAGCATGCTGGCCGGGTGCCAAGGTTGCGGAGCGATGTCTGACGCTAGGTCCCCCAGCTAGGTGCCCTTTCTCACCCCTTTTTTGGTTGGGAGGGTCCCCTACTAAAAAGACTACAGAAAAAAGGGTACCCTTATTCCAAGCTCTCTACTGGAGGACCTAGGATGGGCAAATTCCACTCGGGGCCGAAACAAATGTTACAGCAATTCATGCTAGACTAACACACTGTTTTTTTGGGGCTCTGATTGTAGCGTTCTAGCCGTGAGTGGGCGATTCCTCTCGGGCATGAGCAAAGCGATACTGCATAAAGGTTCTTTGCTTGAGGATCAAGTTCTTGTATGCTGCATATTTAGGTTTTGGGCATATAGGAAGCGACCGTAGGTCGATAGACGTTGGGGTTACTAAAGCTAGTTTTCTTTTTGGGGCTCTGATCGTAGCAGCGTTCTAGCGTTCTAGCCGTAGTTCGCTTCCGAGTGCTCCCCATGCCCGCCCGAATCGGGTTGCAAGATCAGCGCACGTTCTGTTGCCTCCAAGCTGGTTGCAGAGCGGTATTTGTGTGGTGTGACGATACTTTCCCAACTGTTCTACTTATTCAACCCCAGGGGAAGAAGGTTCTGCTTGTGGGAAAGAATGGGGACCTAATCCCTATAACCAGGAGTTCAGCAATGCGATGTGTTTGGCCGTGACGTGGTTTGGATTGCCAGAAAGTAACCATAGGCTTGACAAATGTTTGGAACACATGTGCATGGCCAAAAGTCTCCTCTTGGGTGTGGTAGGGATCGTTGTCAACCTCTAAACGAAGGTTGACAACCAATGCCAGGGTTCCTATTGAAGGAATCATGTTTCGACCATACACACGTGAGGTCCTAAACACCACGTAATGGTTTACGAGGAATGGTTTCAACACAAGCAGCTCATGCGTGTTTGCCGGCCTCCGCCATCCCCAAGGGGGTTTCCCTTTTCTTGCCTTACGCTTTCCTTTCACACGTGGCGGATTCCATCTTATCGCTGCAGGGGCATGTCTTTTGCTTTGCCCCTTTCCATCTTTTTCTCGGGGCCAATTCTGGCCAGCTTGGCCCTGGGCTGGCTTGGAAGCACAGGAAAACCCGGGTCGAGAATCTGCTTTTGGACCTGTGGAGTCAGAAGGGACATGTTCCTTTCGTACGCCCAGGATCTTCGTGTCTTCACTCGCGTCGGGGAAGATGAATGAGCTGTCGGCGCGCCGGATTCAGCTGAGGTATTAGACCCAAAGACCAACAAGTACAGCGAGGAGATCCGATTCCCCTCTTCCGTGTGGATGTTCGAAGAGTCAAGTGATTTCTATCCCCTGATATGAGCCTATTGGCCAACCAACCACTACTTGTGGCTTTATGCAACGCACCACCTCGATTTCTTCACTTCCATGGCTTGTTGTTTCCTTCTTTAGTTCTGTTCGAGGCTGCAAAGAACTGTCAGTTTGCCAACCTGACGAAAATCTGGCGGAAAGGGTTGCAACGGAGCACGTTGGTCGGCTTCCCAACACCGGGGTATGAAAACCAGGGGACTCCACTCAAAGCAATACTTTCAGAGCAGGTTGGTCCGAAGGGTGCCCTTGACCTGCCCTCAGCACATTAGCACATTTGTCACCCTGACCATGGTCTAAGCCGGAGCGTGTCAATATAACGTGTTTTTTGGAGGTTGGCCTTGTTTGGGTTGGTGTCCAAAGGGAACCTATGTTTTTGTTGGGGGGAACCCCCCCCCCATTTTGATACAGGGGAAGGCCACTTTTTTGAGCAAAAATTGGCACCATTCCGAGTGCCTAACTGGACATGCGAATCGACCGCTGGATTTTGGTTCTCAAAATCGGGCACCCCCAAATTGGGTTGGGTGTTTTTGGTCTGCAACAAATGGTCTCTTGGGACAATGCAACAATTTTGTGGGTGTTTCTTTTTTGAGCGGACCCTCCAAAGATGGTTGGTTTTCTTCTGGTTTCCCCAAATAGTGAAGAGGGAGTCCTCTAGTTTGGGAGCGCTGTGGCTTTAAACTGTTGGCTCGGCCATGTTCAGTGATAACGTGCGGATCACATGTGATCACTGTATTTGGGACCTCTTCTAAACTTTACATTTTTCAAGGAGTCCTTAAGATGGGCCAGGGCCTACGGCGGCCTACACATATCAAGCTACATAAGGGGAATATATTGCTGGAGCCATTACGAAGAGCGAACTGCAAAGGTCGGAGGACGTCGTTTGTACAGAAGAACAAATGGAACGACCCTGACTTCTGAAAGGCATTACCGGGCCAACATGCCTCCGGGATGCGAGAGACGTTGGCTCGCTTTGGCTTTCTGCCGGGGAAGTCACCTCGGCGCGTCACTTTGATATAGGCGTCTCTTTTCTGTTTCTTTGAGTTGGTACCTGCTTTTCGGGGGGTCCGATTCCCGAAAAACAACACATCCACAGAGTCCTTTTTCACCTTGGCGTGCTCCTTGCCTCCAGACGATCACCGGTCAGCGACCGCAGACTCTCTCGCGCTTACGCAGCAAAGCCTTGGAACATCGCCCATGGAACGCCCAAAGACCTTTCCGAATCAGAAGGGATTGATGCCGCGGACGAAATCCGTTCGCACCACCGAAGACACCCTGGTTTCTGAGTCGATTCCCCGGTGCATACCAACAAACAATGGTTTAGGTTTTCCCATGGTGTCTTAGGTGGTGCGAAATGGAGTTTGTCCATCCGCAGTATTTCCCCTCTGGGAGTTTGGGGAGTTTTGGGACGACTCCCGCGCAGGAGCTGACGCCTTCTTATGGCAGGCCGATCCCGGGGGTTTCGCAACTTAGGGAAGCCAGCCGGTCTGCAGCTCGGCTGAATGTCGACCTCGGATGATTTGTTTTTGCCCCGGTTTGTTCATAGGGAGGGTGCTTTTCCCTGGGTGAAATGTGGGGGATTCAGACCACTCTTGGAGGGGAACACCCCCAGATTAAGAAACTGAGGCTCATGAATCTGGGGTCAACAGTACTCCTTGTTCGTTTCTTCAGCTTCAACCTGCTGGGCAACCGGCAACAGTTGCACTTGGGCTAGGGGCCAAGACTCGGATGTGTTGCCAGGGTCATCTCTTTTCCAGTCGGAACATGGCGCGCAAAGACATGTCCCGAGCCGAATGTCAGAAAGGGACAAGTTGGAAGGTTTGGCAAGAGTCTTGGGAGAAGGGAGGGTAGAATCTTCCAACCAATCCCCGCTTGCAAGCCTGGTCCTCACTGCAGTTTCATATGCGGATCCCTGGGTTCCTTGGTTGAGTGATGGTTTAAGGAAGAATGTAGGGAACCCTGTCATAGCCACACAAAAGTGCTCACCCTATAATGGCTTTCCTCGGGTAGCCCCCAATCTTCCTTTTCCATGGTCAGGGGTCCCTATATTTCCCTTTGTGGTGGTTTTGAACCTCATGTTGTTGAGATACCATGGCATGAGGATGATCTTCTCGAGTCACAGGCTACTCGGAGGAGGGTTCACAAAGACCGCATTAAATGCGGCGCGCGTGGGTGACATGGACTGAGGCTGCCTTCACACGAGGGAGGTAGTCTCGAAAGGATCGCGGTGGTTTTGAACATCACCTGTGGGGCCCATTTAAGGTGAGCTTTTTGTAGGGGTGATGGGAAGTATGGGCTGACCACAACCTGCCTTTTCCGTTGGACATTCTATGGGATGGGAAACCTATTTGGGTATGAGCCACAATGGGGACCCCCCCAAGAAAAAATAAACAACATGAATGATGATGTCCCTTCAAACCAGGTGCAAAAAGGGCTATGTACCTTCCATTCTTTTGGATATGACTGATTTTGTTGCCCTGCCAACCACACTTTTTACGGGGTGTCTCTTTGACCCAGGCAGCATGTCCCCCTCCCCTTTCAAAACATCGGCCAAAAGGAATTCAATGATCATGTTGTTTTCAGGGTACCTGTTTCAGGAGCAGGGAAGCCACCAAAATCGCGGCCCGCCCCTTTCATTCCATGTCCGAGAAGGTTGGTTCTTGGTTCAGGCGTCATCCTTTGACTTTTCGGACAAGATATCCATTTGTAGACCTCACTTGAGTTTCTGGACCTGGTACTTTTCCGGGGAGACCTTAGTGGCAGACTGCTTCCACTGGGGGATTTAGCAACATCCTCCTTTGACATCCGAACCTCCCCGGGCCCTTCCCAAAGAACCCAGACACAGCGACTAACCAAAAAAACGTTACTCAAGACTATCCAACTCAGACCAGTGGGTAGAATACCCTGGCCCGCGTTTCAGCTTCAGCTGGTCAGGCCTGAGTCAGGCCATATACACCGTGTATCACCGTGTGTCAATTTCCCAGGACAGCGGCAAAACATGCGCAAGTTGTTGCAGCTTTTCTTTGACATGTCCGGAGCCCCTTTGTGGCGCAGGCGGATTGAGCACCAGAAACCAAGCTTCGGCAGGACGGATCTCAAGACCTTCCTGACGGAAGCCCTGCAGGACCCGGACTTGGGGCGGCAAAACGCCATCTCGCCACCCGTCGCTGGGTGTCTATGTTGAGTGTTGTTCTTTTTGCTGTTTTAAAGGAAACCACAAGGAAAGTCACCTTTTTTTGGGCCCCCCAAGAAACAGCCACAAGAAATGGATGGAGGGGGCGCACCCTCCCGCCCACATTTTTCAGGCAAGGAAGGGGGGTCCCAAGTGTGCTAAGGATTAACCAGCTCGCCGAGTGGGGGGCGGGGGGAAAGCGAGCGATTCAACCAATGGACAAAGGGTTTCTATTTTGAGGATTTCTGAGCTTGGATTTGTAAATTTATGGTAGTTTGCCAACATGAAGGCTTTCCTTTTTGTGGGGGACCTCGTATGGTGGGCACTTGGAACAGGTTTCTCCCTTGTTTGCGTCCTTTTCTTTTCCGGGCCAACAGATAGCTTATATGCATTGACTTAGGTTTGTCAGGTTTGGTGCTGCAAAGTGGCGCTGGCACTCGTATGGGTCCCTCCTTGTGCTCTGCAAAACGAAGTTCTGTCCTGGAGTTTGCGTCGGGGGTGCCCTGTACCTATGTTTTTGTGAGGGGCAAGGCACAACTCGGCTTCTCGTGTTGGGTGTCGGTCCAAGTGAGAAGTGTTCCAAAGAGTGGTGGCTGCAGCTATGATCAAAGAGTCATCCAGGAATCGTTGGCTGGGTTTTTGCTTAGTGCGACAAAGAAGCAAGGCACATCCAACAAATGACCTGTAGTGTTGGACAGATTGGTGAGGGTTGTTTGACCTTCATCTATTTGCTTGCGTTGAACTTGTAAGGCCAAGTGGTGAAGGATGTTACAAGCTACCAAGTAAGTTTATCAATATTCCTTGCCCCCGAATGACCATGAGTAACTTTTCCCATTTGGTGGGGCATACCATCCGTGTTCCTGGTTTCCCCCCAATGCTCATCCCATGTTCATCGGACCTTTGGATCAACCCCCAGGGAACCTGTCTGGTGATGTCTGGCGTGCACAGCCGCGGCTCTGACTCAAAGTAGTGGGATCGAATCTCCGGCGCAGTCCCTGCCAAGGCCTCGGAAAGGACTGAGTCCAAGGCTTCAGAACCTGAAAACACCATACCCCCGAGTCAAGCTCCACAAGGAGTATACTGAGTAAAACGGTAATCAAAGACTGGACCCTGCAATCAGCTATTGGAGGCTGCGCCGCAATCACGTACAGCAGAACCCGGCAATCTCGTACAGGTGAACCGGGCAATCAAATATGGGCTGCGGTGAGTTTATGATTGGTTTGGGGTTGGTTTGCGGTTGGTTTGGGGTTGGTTTCGGGTTGGGTTGGGGTCGGTGTAGGATTGGTGTAGGGTTGGTTTAGGGCTGGTTTAGGGTTGGTTTAGGGCTGGTTCAGCGTTGGTCTAGGGTTGGTTTGGGATTGGTTTGTGCGTGGTTTAGGGTTGGCTTAGGGTTGGTTTAGGATTGGTTTGGGGTTGGTTTGGGTTTGGTTTAGGCTTGGTGTAGGGTTGGTTTGGGGTTGGTTTAGGTTTGGTTTAGGGTTGGTTTAGGGCTGGTTTAGGGTTGGTTTAGGGTTGGGTTGGGGTCGGTGTAGCATTGGTTTGGGGCTGGTTTAGGATTGGTTTAGGGTTGGTTTACGGGTGGTTTAGGGTTGGTTTAGGATTGGTTCAGGCTTGGTTTGGGGTGTGCTTAGGTTGGTTTAGGGTTGGTTTAGGATTGGTTCCGGCTTGGTTTAGGCTTGGTTTGGGGTTGGTTTAGGGTTGGGTGGAGTTTGGTTTAGGGTTGGTTTGGGGTCTGGTTTAGGGTCGGTTTGGGCTTGGGTTGGTAGGGTTGGTTAAGGGCTGGTTTAGGGTTGGTTGAGGGTTGGGTTGGGGTCGGTGTAGGATTGGTGTAGGGTTGGTTTAGGGCTGGTTTAGGGTTGGTTTAGGGCTGGTTCAGGGTTGGTTTAGGATTGGTTCAGGCTTGGTTTAAGGCTTGGTTTAGGGTTGGTTTAGGGTTGGTTTGGGATTGGTCCGCTTGGATTAGGCTTAGGATCGGTGTAGGGTTGGTTAAGGGCTGGTGTAGGGTTGGTTTAGGGTTGGTTTAGGTTTGGTTTCGGGTTGGTTTAGGGCTGGTTTAGGGTTGGTTGAGGGTTGGGCTGTGGTCGGTGTAGGATAGGGTTGGTTTCGGGCTGGTTCAGGGTTGGTCTTGGGTTGGTTTGGGAGGGTTGGCTTAGGGTTGGGTTGGGGTCGGTGTAGGATTGGTGTAGGGTTGGCTTAGGCAGGTTTAGGGTTGGCTTCGGGCTTGGTCTAGGGTTGGTTTGGGATTGGTTTGGTTTAGGGTTGGTTTAGGATTGGTTTAGGGTGGGTTCAGGGCTGCTTTGGGGTTGGTTAAGGGTTGGTTTAGGGTTGGTTTGAGGTTGGTTTGGGCTTGGTTCAGGGTTGGTTGAGGGTTGGGCTGGGGTCGGTGTAGGATAGGGTTGGTTTAGGGCTGGTTTAGGGTTGGTTTAGGGCTGGTTCAGGGTTGGTCTTGGGTTGGTTTGTGAGGGTTGGTTTAGGGTTGGGTTGGGGTCGGTGTAGGATTGGTGTAGGGTTGGTTTAGGGTTGGTTTAGGTTTGGTTTAGGGTTGGTTTAGGGCTGGTGTAGGATTGGTTTAGGGTTGGGTTGGATTGGGGTCGGTGTAGCATTGGTTTAGGCTGGCTTAGGATTGGTTTAGGGTTGGTTTAGGGGTGGTTTAGGGGTGGTTTAGGGTTGGTTTAGGGTTGGTTCAGGCTTGGTTTGGGGTTGGTTCAGGGTTGGTTTAGGGTTGGTTTAGGATTGGTTCCGGCTTGGTTTCGGCTTGGTTTGGGGTTGGTTTAGGGTTGGGTGGAGTTTGGTTTAGGGTTGGTTTGGGGTCTGGTTTAGTGTCGGTTTGGGCTTGGGTTGGGGTCGGTGTCGGATTGGTGTAGGGTTGGTTGACGGCTGGTTTAGGGTAGGGTTGGTTTGGGATTGGTTTGTGCGTGGTTTAGGGTTGGTTTAGGGTTGGTTTAGGATTGGTTTAGGGTTGGTTCAGGGTTGGTTTAGGGTTGGTTTAGGATTTGGTTTCGGCTTGGTTTGGGGTTGGTTTAGGGTTGGGTGGAGTTTGGTTTAGGGTTGGTTTGGGGCTGGTTTAGGGTTGGTCTGGGGTTTGCAAATTCGACCAAATTCAACTAAAATCAGCCAAAATCGTCAAAAATCAACCAAACTTCCAAACCCGACCAAACTCGAGGAAAATCGACTAAACTCGACCAAACTTGAACAAAGGCGACCAAACTCGAGCAAAGTCCAACTAAACTCGACCAAACGACTTGAGTTCGACCAAGCTCGACCAAACCCGACCAAATTTGACCAGATTCAGCCTAGAGAATATGACCGGACAATTTCAGGAATTTTCCAACTTGGACCACTGCGCTCGACCAAAGTCGACCAAATTCAACTCAAAGTCAACCAAAACCAAAATAGACAGCGCTCAACACCATGTGACCAAATTCGACCAAATTCAACCAAACTCGACCAAACTTGAACAAACTCGAGCAACCAAACTCGACCAAACCTGACCAAACTCGAGCAAACCCGACCAAATTTGACCAAATTCAGCCTAGAGAATCTGACCGGAAAATTTCATTCAGTCTGGCGATGGACTGCCCAATCCGACAAACTTGGACCACTGCGCTCGACCAAAGTCGACCAAACTCAAAGTCAACTAACATCAAATTCAACCCCTGACCAAGTGCTCGAAGTTCGATTCCATTGGCGATTGGCGGATTCAGCAATGCGCGATTGGCGGGATGGCAGTCTGTGATTGGCGGGACGGGACAGTTTGCGATTGACAGGCTCCGCGTATTCGATTGGCGGGATACCCTTGTATACTTGCTAGTGCTCAGCAGGGAATGAGGGAATGATACCCCATGGTTTCCTTGATTCGGGAATAGCCAGGTTCATTCCCTCATTCCCTACTGAGCACCAGCAAGTATATGAATACGCTGTAAATCAGCCCGAAAGGCTTGACTCTCACATTTCTGCTTTTGGGTCGGAAAGTTCTAGTGTAGGAAGCCTTTGAAGGATGAATGCCAACCAGTTTTGGGGTGACGCCTTAGACTTTGGCAGTTTCTGGGACAGCAGGATGTTCAGTGCCTTCAGCAGGCAGTAGTGCTCGATCCCTATTGCTAGCCACGCATCTCTAAGCGTGTGAAATCCCCCTTGGTTTTAAAGGGACAATAGTCACGACTGGCAACACATGTTTACATGGTTATGGCAATGCAACAGCAAATGGATGCAACACTCCAAAAAACAGATTGGCTTTTGAAGCCTCGTCAACATTCACGCAGGATTTGAGCGACTACAGAGACGCCATGGAGGATTACCTTTTAAGATTCTAAAGAAAGCCGTTTGGGTTGGGGGGGGGGTCGACATGACGACCATGTCTGCCCATGGTCGAATTTGCTGGCACCCTCCTTCATAGCCAATCCAGATTGTTGTGTCACCCTTTTGTGTGACCTTTGACCGTGCTGCTTGGACACTTGCTGGCCAGTTCGACCAGGTTTGTCAGCAACTGACGCTTGTCTTCGGAGTCTCTTATTGCGGGCGGTTTGAACAATGAGAGCTTGAATGAGTGTTGTCTGTTTGGGTCCCCCTGCACAAAATAGCACACGTGTGGTGGCCACCTAAACAATACCCTCCAAACACACTCCTCCAGAAGGCTTAAATCGACCATTAAAATAGCGGAGCTCCTTTTTGCACCATGTTTTACGATTTGTATTATTTTTGTTTATCTATTTTTTTGGGGGGGAGGGTCCGGAAAGAAAAGAAAGAACAAAGCAAACAAAGCGCCACTGGCCACGGCCCAGGTGAAAAAGATGGGCTCCGGCGCCTCCATCTCCGAGCAGCTGCAGAACGCCTCCCAGGTCTGAAGCGAAAGCGACAGGTCCAAAGGGCCAGTTCGACTTGTTTGGGGCTTGTCAAAAAGGCGAACCCCGGAGAGGGATACGTTTTTTCTTTCTTCTTCTTTTTTTTTTGGG